GGCAGGACGTGTGAGTAAATTTTCTATTCCCTCATCCTACCTAATGTATGACAATGTACATGCACATGCCTGGGAAGTATTGGGGGTGGCGAAGCTTGCAGCGGAGGGAGCCTCTTGACAAAGGGAGGGCTGCCCACGTCGGCATCAACTTCGGGAAGAAGACGGCGACCTTTGCGCGACCTGCATTTACGCCTAACGAGATAGCAATACTCTGCAATATATGAAAATTAGCTGGGGCTCCAAAGGAGCGGCTCTAGAGCACCCCCAGGGGCACCCCTTGGGGTGGAAAACGAGACATACCGGTAGAGAATACGAGACTCAGGGCATCGAGGTCTCTACCGAAGTCCAGATGGCCGCGAGAAGAGTAGCCGAGGAGAACAAGCAGCTCCAGGAGCTCCTCAACAGGCATGGCATTAGCTACGACCACATAGCCCGTTTCTTGCAGTCGGGCACCTTGCCGCTTGATTCCAACCAAGGCCAACCCTTTCACGCCGACGACCCAAGTGCCGCTATCCAGTCGCTGCAATGGCTCCTGATGCCGCGACAACCGGCCAGTCTAGATGAAGACTTCTCCCTATATTTATCGAGACAGTCGATTCGGGACCACTCCACCACCGGGGGGTCGACGACGAGTTCGTCCGTCTGGGAGCCGTCGCAGCTCGTGACCTCGTACGGCTATCAACATCACATGGGCGTGGCTACCGCTGTCATGGGATCGGCTGTTCATTTTCCGTATCCACCGACAACCCCATTGAGTCGCGCGAGCACCACGCGACCAGGCCGTGTCTATGGTGGGCAACCGTCCCCGTCGATGCACGATAGTCCCGGCCAAGCCATGGTAACAACACAGCCTACGTCTACTGGCGGCCGTACGGTAATGCACTCGCATTATTCTGTGCCTACTTATCCAAACGCGGTGATGCCACATTATGATCCCCTGGGGAGCACCTGCGGACACGCGTTGATGAGCACCCGCAGGGGCGTATCGCCGATTCCATGGGTTGTTTTAAATATATATTGGAGATTGGCACTGTTGGCCATGCCCTTACCGATTCACTAAAGCCTTCTGATATCCTTCTGTCTGTGGACCAGGGCAGCCCCGTTAGGGAGGACCTGGAAAAGGGATTCCTGGCCTATGTAGCAGTAACGGATGAGGACTTCCTGAGTAAGGAAGGTTACCCCTTTATGCGTCGGCACAGCCAAGTATGCGTGGGTAGAGCCCCATACTCAGGAGGTCTCCAGAAGTCCCTAAAGCCTCCTGTATAAATAGCCCCTTCAGACTGCCCCTTTAGAGATAGAATATGCATCTTGAATCTAGCTGTGGTGACCCCCTTATTCCGATGTGTATTGACACAACATGTCACCGGCACCGTCATATAAGAGTAGAACAGACTTCCCGATTCCCTGTCGAGCTTCTTTGTAGCCCCTGATGTGAGCTCCAGCAAATCATCCCGTGAGTCGCAGCAATGCGACTCTAGCCGTCTAGTGGCATCTATCTGCCCAGTTTACTCATGCGCCTTCCTCCTCTCTCGGAACTGTGATATACTAGTCCTTGGCTGATGCCTGCGAGCCGCCCCAGGGAGGGAATGCATAGCAGTTGGCCTTTCTCTTTGGCCACCCTTCCATCAGATGATGCTTGCATCCTTGGCCGGAACACTGTCAGCTTCTGCATTTATGCACCGGTCACCCCCCTTACTAACGTCATTAGCAGCCAACTACCAAGTAAGAGCAGGGGCAGGCTTCCAAAGTGATTAGGGAGTCTTAAGTCAGACTAGCGTGGGCATGTGGCAGGATTACGCATTGATCTCTACACCATCAGCTTAGCTTGAAGCAAGGCAATATATATATATATATATTGGAAGTAACGGGAAGCGACGTAGCTTGCGGAGAGGCTGCCACCGGGGCAAGGGGCAGGATGCTGACGTCGAGATTAACAGCTTCAAGAAGCGTGTCAAGTCGGTGAACAGATTGCAGATGGCTGCACAACGTGGTGGCCACATTGCATCTCCAATCTGCAAGCCATAGTCGAGCGCGTCTCAGAGACGATTCGAGGGAAGGGAAAATCGGCCCCAAGGTCGTGCCCGGGGAAGCCGGGACGACTAGAGGACAGCCTAAGGGGGTGGTCTCGACTCAGCCCAGAGCCGGTGTAGCTACCTGCTCGTGGTGTCGATGACTGGGATACTTAACGCCGGGAAGAAGGGAGTGTAAGGAGAATGTTTATAATGGAGGGGGCGTGGGGGAGGTGCTAGACGATGAGGCCGGATTCTGGCCACTTTGATACACCTCATACTGCTTTGTTGCTCTAGCCTGTAGCATCAACGAAATTTTATCCTGCGCGGCTGAACGAGAAGATACCGGTAAAGAGGCCGGAGAAGGCAAAATTGACAGGGAAGGATGGCTGCGACGGGAACCGGGTTGCCCATGTCGGCACAATAACTCCGGGAGTAAAAAGAAGCACCTCGGTGAGACATGCGTTACAGTTTGAACTAGAACTAGGCATAACGGTTGGAGTTGTTGGTTACCTCCAATCATCCAGCCAGCCCGTGATGACCGTGACGCGCGCACGGCAACACAACCGTGGTTCTCTCAAAGTCAGGGAGGAAGTATTGCCTCGCCAGCTCTGTTCTCATCTGCTCGCCATCGATCACACTATTCATTTCCCGCCTCCTTTTTCCCCCAGATTTCACTCTACTGAATGCTCTATTTTGAGCAAAATATGACAACATGACACGGCAAAGACGGCGACAACAAAATGAAGGGAGAAAGCCAAAGCGGACGCGCAGCAAAACTTCTCGAATTAGGGCTCACGGGACTCACTCCTACCTACAACCACCAGACCTCATCTCATCAGTCAATCATCGATGCTTCACATTCATGCCGGATGGGCTTACATCCAGGCCGGTTACGTTCACTCCCACGCGCAGGCAGCGCCCACGCCGCCCCGTCCTTGAGCGAGCGGTGGCGGACTGCAAAGGCACTGCGATTGTGAGTTGTGACATCTCAATATCCTGTAGGAATCAATCATTCCAGGGTTCTAAGGCAAGGCAAATGCGAACCATCTCGGCTAAATCGGTTGCGCTATATGTACTTACAATATTCGGTAGAGTAAAAAAGCCCATCAGACCACCCAAAGAAGGAGGGCCTTGGCCAACCGATCGACTCGGCACTCCTACACTCCACGTGTTTTTCCCACGACATGTATGAACACGGACCTACTCGTTCAATCCTCACCCAGCATGAGGCCCCGACCGACGAAAACCAACCAAGACAGAGCGACCTAGGATACGATGACGCCGCAGAGACATCAATGATCCGCCAGCCTCTTATTCAAGTGCTCAGCAGCTGCACACTAGAATCAGAGATACAGGCAATGACTCAAGGGTTGCGGGCGCTTGAAAGGGCGTGTGACGACTTTGTGTCGAGGAAGGGAAGTGAGCACTCTCGCGACTACTATCTTGAGCTCTTTTCCACCTTTGTTCCACTCTTGGATGCATACTACGACTATCTCTTGGCGGCGAGCCATCCGGCGGCGACCGATGTGGTTCGACGTGGTTTGTCTGAGATGGCAGATCGCACGAGACGACTCGGCATACAGTGGCCGTTGCGTCTTCTCCAACAAAAACTGCCGGAATCGTCGGAGCACCTGTCAAGATTCTATTTCTATGCTCGCTCGCTTGTCGTCCACCTTCAGCAAGAGGTCTTGAGTTCTACTTGGTCACAATGCATTGCAGACCTGGACAGTTGTCATCAGGGGACTGAGCAAGGTCGCGAAACTGGCCTGGGCAAGGAAGCGGAAGAGTTGGGGCATTAGGATGGCTCGAATATTACATGTAGTTTATGGCCTAACAAATGAAGTGGGGCATCATTTTGTCCCCGAGCAAGAACGACGAAACGTCCCCAATTCCCACGATGAGCTACTTCGAGGAAGCATTATATGGATCTTGCACCATTTGCCGCCGCGGTCGAATCCACTTGGCCCACGGAGGACGTCTTGTCTGCTCCTGTTGTCGACAGGCGGCTGGTAGTACACTTAGCACTGAACTGTGTAAAAGGACAGGGGATCTCAGAAGCATACAGCAGATATCGTTACCCCTGTTTTCTTTTAGTAAACGCACTTCCTCGTCACCATGCAAGGGACTAGTCACCTACCAGTATTGCCTACTGACGATTGTGGGAGGGCATCTGCGTTCTGTTCTGGGGTACTCGGAGCACCAGGAATCAACAAGGAAGTAGTGATGCTGGCAGCTGAGCTCTTTCTGAAGGAGGAAAATCAGGCCATTGCTGCACGAGACGATATCAGTTGCCAGGAGTAACGTCGATTCTTGACGCACATAGATGTAGTTGCACATTGTAGTCGGGGCTGCGGAGGATCGAGGTAGCAGGCAAAGCGAGGCAGTACTGGGATACTTGTGGCTTAGAATAGGATGAGCAAGACGGAACATTGAATGGTTTTAAACAGTTTTTCACGTCGCGATTTGCTATCGTCTATTCCGGTCCTTGTACATCAATACATGTCTTATTAGGGTGCGAGGCATCCCCAACCGAGGGCGCTCTTATCCCAGTTCCTGCTCGCTCCTTCGCGTCACCTTGCTTGGCAGACACTATAGTGCCTGCTTCGCATCGAGCATGAGGTCGAGTACGACGTTTGTGTAGCATATTGTGATGATGACTGCATTAGTGTGGCCAGAAACCAGACCCGGGGAGTCCGATCACCGGGGGGTGAAGCTTTTACCAGCCAGTCCCGTCTCCAGCAGATGGTGCGGCCGTGACTTATGGTGTGTTCGTAGTCGCTCCTGTGCCACCTGCAAGACGCCCCTTTAACCTGCCCCACCGATTCTTTCGAAGCAGGGGGGCCGAGAGAAGGGGCAGGGTGGCTCTGGCTGCCGTCCAGCCAGCCACCTCTGCCTTCACTTTTGCGTGCCCTTGCAGAAACCTGGACCTGAGCTTCTTCACACTATAAGTTGAACAACTCTTGAGGCTATCCGATTCTTTGTCGCGACATGGAAGACAGGTGGGTTGATGCTGCCAACCATCTGACCGAGCACGCGAAGCAAGGGCGGTTACGACTGGCTTACGGAGAAGATGAATTATGCCTCGACGACTTTTCCCCCAACGACCTAGTCAATGCTTTTCTCTCGACGCATTGCGATGTCGCCATCGAATTACCGTCACTCGCCGACAAGCTCTGGCATCCCTTGCTAGAGCTGGAAGAGCAACTCCGACGGCAGCTTCGCCGTCGCTCTAGGAAGTCGAGCATTCACAACGAGACGACGACGGCCAGACTACTGTGGTATAACTGGTTCTTCGTGATATCCTTCATCACTTTTGTCGAGCCGCAGCGGCGATGGGGCGAGGGAAGTGGTTCCCGCCCGGCGAGAGCAGCTCGTGTGGCCAACTCGACGATGGACCGTGCCCGCTGCCTCTATGGGATCCGAGGCTTTTGTCTCTATCAAGACTGGAGTGGTAGGGGTGCACTCGAGTCTCCTTGCGACATCATGATGGGTTGAGCTAATGATAGATACAGCTGTCCAGACGTTGCTGTCCAAGCCGGCCGAGCACCATGCCAAGTCAAGCAGCATTGCGCAAAGGGCTCTGCAATTCTTCGACGAGTGCCATTTCTCCGCAGCCAAGCTGGACGGTCCCGTCTTTTGCCCCGTCTTCTTGATCGCCCAAGCGACAAAGGCCCCGTCAGTAATCGGCTCGGTCCTTCTACATGTCGAGCGACTGCTTATTCTCTGGGCCAGGTTTGACTTGGTTTGCGAAAGAATCGGCCTTGAGTCTCTGGCGGAGCTCGCACGAGGCATGGAGGAGCCTCGAATACTCGATGAGTGCACGGGGAACTGTATGGCTGTGCCGACACCTTTCATGGAGCGCATCCTTGCCGGTGCCTCGTGCGCAGTGCCATTAGGCGAGTATCATAAAGACCCTTTGGATAGTGGCCGGTTTACTAATTCTTCTTCTAGCGCACAACGGCGTCTTCGGTGGTCTTTGGACTTGCGAAGAAGAAGCAGCACAGTGCGGGAATGCGCTGATGAAGGATGGGAAATCCGCCCATCTGGATGCCCTTCTAAGCAGCGAGACTACCGAGGCTTCGCTGGTCACGGATGAAATGGCGTTGGGCACAGTCGGCCATTGTGGTGTTCTGCCGAGCTACGACTCGTTTCTACAGTTCGACCCATGGTCAGCCGGCCACGTCACTGATGGCTGCTCATCATCGCTCAGTTACGATGAGTTGCTCCAGCTCCAGCTATTCAGGTTATAATCTACAGGTCATGTATAAAAAAGCCAAGAAATAAATCTCGACCTTTTCCTGCCCCCTCACCTCAACGTCGCCCCCATGCATCTGCTCGTCCTCCTCCAGCACGACTATGTCGCCTACACGTCCTCGTACGTGCAACGGCACCGTTATGCTCCCGGCGATGGGCCGTCGGATGGTACACCTGTACTCCTTGTCTTGGGCCGTCTGTCGGGCCCGTCCTTGCTCCGGCAGAATGATGTGGACGACGAGTCGGTCTCGAGATACGACAAGCGACCCGCCAGAGTCGACGCGTATGACGTTGCAGACGCCATGAGGATGCTGCGAGTTCTCACGGTGGCAAATATGCCTGCCGTTGCGTCTCAGCCAACTCTCGATATCGACAAACTTATCTAGTCAGCCGCTTTAAACGTCGCTCGGCGTGCAGTGAGTGGCATGCTGACCTCTCCCTCATAGAAAGCATCGAGGAGCTGCTGAGCCGATGTCGGGAGCGGGCCCTCCAGCCTCCAGTCGTTAAGGCGCATTCCTTCCACCTCCATCTGCGCCATCTTGGCGGCATCGACGTCCACCTGAGCGGCCAGTCGGCGGAATCCAGCCGAGCCTTGTATGAGTTGCATTTCCGCTTTGCTCGATGAATATCGTTCTTGGCTGTTGGTGGCCGAGACGCTGCTTCACGTCCGGCTGCCCGCAATGCCCAACTGCGAGGCCATTCTCGACCTCGGCCTCAGCTGTCATGTAGTCACGTGCGGCGTCGCTGACGTCGTCGACTACGGTATGTGTTGGCTATTATAGGCACCGCTGTTAGTAGGTCACCTGAAGGATCAAGGGAGGGCCACCTGAAGGATCATTATGAGGCCATGTATCGGGGACCCATAAAGACCTCACGTATGGGGCCAGCTTGGTGCCTATGTAAGTCACCTGAGGGTCCCTCTGACTACGGCATAAATAGGGCCCTGTGGCCGCTTCTTTCTAGCTAGATCATGCATCTTTATCCCTTCTTGTGCTGCCCCTACCTCATGAGTACCAGAATAACAGTCCATCGACAGTATGGTATGGATTTATTTCGCCCGGAGGGAGGTCCCTTTAAGGGATTTACCGGTGATCTGCCGGATCCCGTGACCCGCCGGACTTACACAGAGGGGTCGGCGACCTACCGACATTCTGGAGGAGAGCGAACCCGGATTGAAAGCTCAGAAGCTTGAATTATTATCTCTCTATTGAATCGGAAAAGCTGTGTGGTGGTCGAGTCGGCAGCATGAGCATGCTGGTGAATGCGGGGCCTAGGGTGGGGCCGCGCGGCCCCTCGTCGTCGCCGACCGGAGGCAGAATCGTGAAACGCAAGCTACTCAATGGGACAGCAAAAGAGTTGAATAAAAGCAGCCGATATGCGACAAGAGCGACAAGAAAGGAAACAGGTGAAATTGAATGCGCGAGACTACCGGGAAATGAAAATGTCAACAGCAGTCAGGAAGAAGTGGCGATGATTGAGAAGGTTTGGGAGCTGCTGGACGAGTATCGTGCGGAATTCCGAGGATTGAAAGAGACACTCAGAGAGCAAAATGAGATCATCCGTGAGCAGCAAGAGATAATCCGAAAACAGAAAGAAGAAATAGAAAAGCAAGGAACTATCAACCGAGAGCTCAGCATTCATCTGGAAGACATGAAGCAGCAGATGAACGACCAACTTGAGCAGGTCCGAAAGCAACTCGAAGCCATCGTCGCCGGCGCAGCGGTTACCCCGCCCAAAACGTTCGCTGAGGTCGCGCGATCATCGCCGTCGCCACAACAGAGCATTGCCCTGTCGCTCCCGCCTGGTAATACTGCAGAACCTACCGCGAACGAGTTTTTCTGCATGATTGATACATCCCGAGTAGAGGAACAGGACAGAGGCCGAGCACAGATAGGCTCGATTCGGCAAGCCATTGAAAATGAGGTCAGAACAAAGGAAGGTCAGGTGAACTGGAAGTGCGCAGCAGTTGTGAGGAACTCTCGAAACACAAAGCAAGTCAAGGTCATTTGCAGAGATGAAATCGAGCTGCAACGAATCAAGGAAGCCGCGCAGAAAACGGCGGTGACTGGAGCTCGAGTGATGAGAGACCAGCTTTACCCAGTCAAAGTCGACAATGTCAATCGTACCGCGATCCTCGACGGAGAAGGCAACATCCTACAAGGTGCGGCTGAGGCTCTTCAAGACATGGGCCATAAAGCCTCCAGGTGCAGCAAGCCTCAGGTGTGCGGAAGGTGTGCCGGTGCGGGTCATCACCACAGGGAGTGCCATGCAATGGACCCTAGATGCGTCTTGTGCGGCGGACCGCACGAGTCGTTCAGCCGGAACTGCCGCGTGCGAAACATCCACTCCAATGCATAAGACACTAAGCTCTCGCGAAGAGAGGGTGCAAGTGATGAATTGATTAAGTTCCTTGTCCTTAGAGGCTTAGATTCTTCCTCCTCCCTAACAAAAAGTGACTTCTTATAGTTCTGTCACCTGTGGCTGCCTTGGGGTGGCGATATCGCCACCCAGGCTGCCAAGATGACGTTGTCATCTAGAAGGTTCGATACCACCGCTTACCAACGACATTATTCATCCTTCTCAGTCACCTTTGCTAGAGTCAACCCGACTAGGTAACCCTCGGACTTAGATCGTTAACCCGTTTTCACGACACACCCCCTTAGCTATAGCCTATCCCGATCGGGTGTAGCTAAACAGCCTTTAAGGGCAACACGATCGAAGGGCCGATCGACCGGTGTGAATAGGAGATACGAATGCTTTACCTTCCCGGCGGCATAGGCTTCCTATGGTCTTTGATCTGGTCTCGGAGGTCTTCTAACCAGGCCTCTAGGCGTAGCCGCTCCGTGAGATCGTCGAGCCCAGTCATCCTTTGGAACTCGAAGAGTTTCTGCTTTGGCAGAGCTTTGGTCAAGCCATCGGCTCTCATATGTGCCGTGGGGACCCAACGGACCCGGATTCGGCCTTCCTGGCATTCCTGACGTAGCCAGTGTTGATGGATATCGACATGCCTTAGCCGTGTAGACAGCTTCGCGCTTCCTTCTCCGAGGAGCCTGATTGTCTGCGAGTTATCACACTCTACTAGCAACGGCAAGGGGATCTGAATCCGTAAAGACGTCAACAACCGGCTTAAGAAGATGCCTTGAGGAACGAAAGGTTCTTCCTTCCGCCTCTTTGCCTTGAGGAACGAGGAACGACGTGACGAAAGGATCTTTGCCTTGAGGAACGAAGAGACGAAAGGATCCTTCTTCCGCGCCCTTCGCCACACCTCCACATCCTCTACCCCTTACGCACGGACCGCATGCCGCTCCGTGCCCACCAGCCACTCTTCACCGCCACCTGTGCCTTGAGGAACGAAAGGCTCTTCCTTCCGCCCCTTCCGTAAACACGGACCGCATGGTGCCCCGTGCGCTCCCCAGCCACTCTTCACTGCCACAGGAGACCGGCCCCTTCCAGGGTCCGCCAATGCCTTGAGGAACGGGAGGAACGAAAGGCTCTTCCTTCCGCCCCTTCCGTAAACACGGACCGCATGGTGCCCCGTGCGCTCCCCAGCCACTCTTCACTGCCACAGGAGACCGGCCCCTTCCAGGGTCCGCCAATGCCTTGAGGAACGGACTAAAGCATTAGTTGGCCGGCGGCAAGTATCAACGCGCCCGGCAGTGCTAAAGGACCCCCCCCCTGCCTTGAGGAACGAAAGGCTCTTCCTTCCGCCCCTTCCGTAAACACGGACCGCATGGTGCCCCGTGCGCTCCCCAGCCACTCTTCACTGCCACAGGAGACCGGCCCCTTCCAGGGTCCGCCAATGCCTTGAGGAACGGACTAAAGCATTAGTTGGCCGGCGGCAAGTATCAACGCGCCCGGCAGTGCTAAAGGACCCCCCCCCCCCCGTTCCCGAACTTGGTCAGTATGCCTATCTTTCGCAACCCTAATTCTCGTACATTCGTCTCGTTTCTACGGCCAAGTTCTTAAGTCTCTGCATTCCATCAACTATGGCCTGATCCAGCCCATTGCCAATGAAATCATGCTGTCTCACGGGACCGAGAAGCTTGATGCCCTCTTGTAATCGGTAAGAACAAACGCTGGTGCCACGGGTAATCCACGTCGTGTGCATCTTGCTGACAAGAATTTGAAGTGAGAGTTAGTCGAATCGAGCGTATGTGACATGGGTCGGATGAGCACGGTCCCCAACGGCAGGGACGGTATCGCCAACGTTTTCGTCTCTTGAGACTGCAGAAGAATGCCTAGCGGTGGCCCGAAGTGGATTGTCACGTCATCTGCCAAGTAGTATCCTGGGTGATTGGGATCGAGTATAACGTCCACGGCAGTAAACTCGGCTCCGTTGACAACTTTCAAGCCAGTATAGATGTTCTTGTTCACAACCACCGGCATACCTTGGGCGTAGAAAAGACACCAGGGACTTTGCAGACAGAGTCATCACCTTGTCCAATGGTTTGTGCTATGATGTTTGGAGAAAGCGTGCCGTTGCGCCAGGTGTGAGTCGAGATAAAGATACGGATATGTTGCTTGTTGAAGCGCGCCCAGCCTACGACAGCTTCCATGTTGAGGGCCCAGCGGGTGCGGTTCAGCGGCGTTATAGCACGCAAACCATTGTCGAAGGTGATTTGGGAGCGTCCTACAATGTTGGCGTTGAGCAAGTCGAGGTCTTGCCGTGTCTGCCGCCCGTCACGAACTCGATCCAGGAGTGCGCCGAGTTGGGGATCGTCGCGTGCCCGGACCTGGTCTTCGAGGAGCACAACGGTTTTGAACAGATGCCACAATCTACAGCCGCTATGGTGAGAGACGGTCGCTTGTCGCAGAGGTGCCTGGGTTCCGTCCGGCGGTCTATTGATCAGGAGGCTTGTTTCCGCACAGGGGCGAACTGGTAGAAGTCTCCCATCAGCAGAACTACAGGCATCCCACCAAATGGCTCGTCCGGACAGTCACGGAGTGCCTGGAGATGACGACTGACGTTGTGCAGAGTGGCCCCCCCAAGCATACTGACCTCGTCAATCACGAGTACCAGCTTCTGTTTCCAGATCCATTTCTTCGCCTCCGAGAAAGGGGAGGCGGTTTGTTTGGATCGCGATGGGAATCTAACCCACAGGCCGAGTGGATCGTCGTGCCGCCAATCTGGGCCGCCGAACTGCCCGATGTGCCGGTTATCTGCAGAAGATGTGGCTGGTTTCTCGCCGCGAACACGTCCTTCAGGGCATCGATGATCCTCGACTTTCCCGTGCCACCCGGCCCGCCGGTATACTGGAGATGTTGGCCAGCTGAGTCCGGATTAGCCGTATACCTGTCTAGAAATGCGCAAACGAGTTGAAGGGCCATGGTCTGTAGATAGTTCAGTGTGAAGGTGGCTGCGGTGGTGTGCCCCATCTCCGCGAAGCTAGTCGCCGGAGTGACGTCAACGAGCATTCGAGGGCCTTGTTCATTGAGGTCACTGCCTGTGAGCGCAGCGGCGGTGTCCATATCGCCGTAGCGAGCTAGGGTATCGTCGATGTCGGCGCCATTCGTGGATAGTACGGTGCCCTGAGAACCACCCTCGATGTCGTCCAGCATTCGAAGATGCAACAGGTCTTGGGCCTTGGCTGCTGCTTGGACATCATCTCGAGATAATATTGGGAATTGGCACAAGGTGTCGCCTTGGTCGTGGGGTATATTGAGGTACAGATCCTCCTGACGTTGGACAAAGGGTTGTCCTCCAGCGAGGTTCCCCTTACGCACGTCGCGTATTAGATCCAAGAGGACGAGGGAGTCCTTTGTGGCGTCAGTATTTTGCACGGAATTCCGCAAAATCTGGAGTAGAGCTGTGTAAGCCTGATGTTGAGCCATCGCTGGAGGCTCATCCTCGTAGTGGCCGTCGTCCAGTGGGTACTCAACGTCAATTGTGTCGTCACCCTCCGATCGACTGGCCCAGAGCTTCGTGTCTTTACGCGCGTCTTCGGCAGACTTTCTCAAAAGACAAATGTTGGAGACATGGAAACGGAGGCGGGGACAAAGCCCGGCCCGATGCCTCGTCCATATGTCGGTTATATCGCCTTGGCTTTCAGAAACGAAGTTTTCCCAAGGGACGAATAACGCCAAATGTAGGACCGAATTTCTGCACAGGCTGTCAGACGGGGCCAAAATGTTGCTGGGGGGTTAGAGCGTACCGCTTAATATACACTGGGTGATCGTCCTCATGGTCGTCGCTGATGTATCCTTGGAAGATCGGGACGGCGTACTGGTCTGGCCGTCGAAGCTTTTGCATCCAGCCGTCACAGTCGGAATCCTGCCCATCGAGAAAATGTGAGAGTCGTCTTCACCCGACTTTTCGACGCATCAAATGAATCATTGACATATAGTCGTACAGGCATAGGTCTCGTAGAACATGGCCCCGGTACGCGTACGCGTCCAGGTATAAAAGGGTTCGCCCTCCTTGCCTCAGACGGATTGTCTCCGGGGGCTGTTCAGCGTCCGTCAGCTCGCCGGCCTGATGGCGGAGATGTGCCCATAGCCGAAAGATTGCCCAATAGAGCGCCGTCAGGTTCAGGAAAGACCAATGCGGCACGTTGGTAAAGTCGGTGTCATATCCAAGGAGATGGTAACAGACCTCTACGGCCGAGAGTTGTCGCTCGGAGAAGATCCGATTTGCCGTTCTCATCAGGAATTGACGGCTTTCATTCAATACTGCCTGCTGCCTGTCGTCGGGCAGGGTGGGATCTGGTGCGCGAGACGTCGGACGACCGGCTTCGCGAAGTTGGCGGGCAACCTCGGCGGCAAGAGCAATGCGTTTCCACATCGGCGTATCCAGTTTGGTGGCGTAGTTCGTGATGTAGTACACCATGGCCAGGCCCTTGGTTTTGGTCAAGATCATCGAGACGTCATGGTTATGACGAAGGCCGACCGCCAATGACTTGTTATACCGATTGACGAGTGGATGGTTGCGCCGGATCTGAAGCAAGCCGTCCTCTGTGAACCCTGTCTCGTCGACGATCTTCCACGGTGCTTTGAAGCGGCAGGCCGTCCGTCTCTGTGGATCTGCACCCTGTTCAACGATCCCCTTCAGAGAATACTTGAGGCAGGTGTACGTGTGGGAGTGCACTTGGCAACAGTACGCGATGAAGTTGGATTCGTCTTCGAAGGCCGCAGTGAGAGCCGAGGTGCTGGTCATGACCTCCTCCACGGGATGGATGGGCTTCCTCTGTTGTCGCAGGGTTTTTCCAGCATCTTCATCTAAACACTCGTGAAAGACAGAGTCTACGTACCGGGTCACTTGGGCACGGTATCCTTCTTCCGCAGGATTGGCCATATCGTCTACCAGGTTCGGTAACCGCATGTTGCCGTCCAGCCAGAGGAGTCCATGTAAGTGGAGGCTGCCTCGCTCGTTCGTTTCCACCGTGGCGTAGTAGTGGCTAATCTTTCCAAAGATCGATTCCTGGCCCGTGTTCACGTACTTGTCAAAGAATAAGGATATTTCTCGGTGGAAGAAGATGGCCGAGCTAACCGGATCCATGGTGCTGAGGGCGATTCTGTCGTACCTTTCACGGAGATCGGCTAAAAGCTCCATTGCAGAGTCATAATCGTGCAGCCTATGAATGGCAAGTTTCATCTTTATCGGATTATTAATGTCGTTGGGACTGATGGTAATCCAAACTGCAGGCATACCGGCCCAAATGTTAACAGCTTGTATCTTCCTCCGCATAAGCAAACGGGATTCGTTCGAGAGCGGCTGTGCGTGGCCAAAATCGACAGCTCGCGAAGCAAGACCGATATGTCAGGGTCCGACGTGGTCCTTGCCTCCCGCATCTCCGCCTCGGCTCTCTTCAGTCGGTCCTCGTTCAAGTTCGCATACGCTTGCTCGAGCCTGTGGAAGGAATCTTTAGCGACACGAACCATGCTGATGCGGCGGTTGGAGGAGCGAAGGAGGGTGTTGAATACTAAGAAACAAAAGACAGGATGGGTGGCAAATCGGCCTCCGTGCCGTCGCAATACGTATCTGGCCCAGTAATTAAGCGAGTGATTCGGACGACGGTCGGCAACAACGCTTTGTCGGCTGTGACTCGAGTCGCCCTTTGATTTCGGGCCACCCTTCCCACGGAAAAAGCTTCGAAATGTTCGAGGGAAGAAATCTTCGTGCAAGTTGTCTGCAAAATCCGCACCACGCTCTACTCGGACAAACGGCTGGTCTCCCGCAGTTTGGACCTGCATAACGCACGGCACAGAGTTGCCATGTCGATCCGGATTGGCGTTGACGATGTCGGCCAGAAACGACAGTTTATCGGTCTCGGCGAAGGCAGCCGGTCCATTGAGAGGAAACATGCCGGAAGCAGACATCTCACAGACGGCGTCAACTTCCAGGCCGATGGCAGCCGAGTCGGGGACAAGAGTCGCCGGCTCACCAGGGGATGGTTGAGTCTGCTCGGGGGACAGAGTACGATCTAAATCGCAGGATTCAGCCGCAAAAGTGGGGTTGATCGAGTTCACCAGTTCATCGATGCTTCTGAAGCTGTTTTCCTCCAAGCCTCGATCAGTGTCCGGGACTATGTGGTCCGTTTGTGTCTTCTCAACGGTCGACGGTTCCTCCTTCGCATGCGGTCCATGATGACGGTCGGAACAGTGGAGCCGTCGGCATACTGCCAGCCATCTATCTCTGCTTGGTTAATTGCGATATCCTCGTAGAGCGGGTTGTTCCTTTGCAGCCATGCCAGGGCAGCTGCCACTCGAGATTTGCGCACTTGAAGCAGGTGTCTGACGTCTGCGGAGCCAGGCTTGCCCGGACCGCTCCAAGAGACGTGGATGTTCTCAATGGCCTGCAGTAAGGGATGAGGAAGAACCGTGGCCACAAGATCATCCACTTTGTTCGGGAAGACGACGATGTGTCCTTTCACGTGCTTGCGGTAGCTGATTCCCGAACGGGTCTTGTTGTCGACCGTGAACTTGGTGATATAGCCAAAGGTGCATGCAGGGCAATGAGTCTCTCTTCAACGGGGGAGAGGTCATCAAGCTCTTCGGGGTACCGATGTTCGCAACCGATGGCCATGTTGTTGACCGAGCAGGCTTTGGGCAGCCGTCCACTGTCGAAGCCGGCGCGACACTCGCGGCACACGTCAACTCTGGCGCCCTCGTGTGACGGAAGGCACGCGCCACACTTGGACAGTCTTGGTCGCCTGCAGCATGGAGGGCGACAAGCGATCCCTCCACTGTATGGTGGCGAGTTCGCAAGGCGGTGTCTTCCTATAGCAGAAGACGCAGTGGGAAACCGGCAACGTCCGTTCCTCGGTAAACGCTTGGTAGAAAGATTTAGCAGCCTCTACCTGGAGGGCAACCGGAACTTCGTTGCACCAGGATCTTGTCGATGATGCCTGCTCCTTGACGCGGAAAGTGGCGTTGTAGTGATGCAGTATGGATTCGACAGAGTCTCGTTGAAGTTGAACGGTTTCTCGCATCGGCCGGGGTCTTTTGGGAGCGCCTTGGCTGCGTCGGCGGCGGAGTGAGAGGCGCTTGCTCTTGTCTAGGTCGTTTCGGTGATGGAGTGGCGGGCGGCGGCGTCTGTGCAGCAAATCGGGATTGAGCTTCACGGCGGCGGGTTCGGTCTTCGGCGCGCTGGCGGTCCATATCTCGCAAGACACGGAGGATCTCATCGTGGGGACTCTGGCAAGCGGTGAAGGGCGTTGTAAGGACCGGCGCCGATAGGACGCCTGCGATTCAAGATCCTCAAGGTGCGGTGAACCTCTTCGGGTGCGACAGTGGCTGGGCGTTCTCGCGGCATGGTGCTGCGAACGAGAGCTGGGACGAAGTGGGGGAATGATCTGCTATGGCGCCCAGCAAGAATCCGGCGTTGGAAGATCAGAGGGCTCAGCGTAGGTCAGGGTCAAGACCCTGGTCCCGCTGGTTGGTAGAAGAATGGCGGTCACGAAGTGAGGGGCGAGCCGCCGACCGGCCGGAGCATGGCCGGAGCGGTCAGGCGGCCCGGGGAGAGGGGCCGGAGCGGGCAGCAGGAAGCAGTGGCTCTGTTTGGCCGGAAGTAGGTGCCTTGAGGAACGAAAGGCTCTTCCTTCCGCCCCTTCCGTAAACACGGACCGCATGGTGCCCCGTGCGCTCCCCAGCCACTCTTCACTGCCACCTACTTCCGGCCAAACAGAGCCACTGCTTCCTGCTGCCCGCTCCGGCCCCTCTCCCGGGCCGCCTGACCGCTCCGGCCATGCTCCGGCCGGTCGGCGGCTCGCCCCTCACTTCGTGACCGCCATTCTTCTACCAACCAGCGGGACCAAGGGTCTTGACCCTGACCTACGCACTCCGTGAGCCCTCTGATCTTCCAACGCCGGATTCTTGCTGGGCGCCATAGCAATAGGATATCCACAGCGGGGTTTTGGTGGCTGATTCAGCGGCTGAGCGCCACAACACCGCAGTTTAGCGTCCGTGCCCTCAGCGGCTTCCAATATCCACCCTTGTCCACGGTCGGCCGTCCGGCCGACCGCCGCCCGGAACGCCGCGTCTTGAAGGGCTCTCAAGGCTCGACGAGCTCGTCAAATTACGAGGGGGAGGGGAAACAAAAATAGTGTATTTCTACCTCTTTAGTTGTACAACTTTTGCCTTTCTGTTGGCTCGGAGCTGTTTGCAAAATAAGTCCAGCGAGCAGCCGGTTTGCTGCTGTTGTAAGTTGACAATGTGCATCGCGGCCTCCTCGCTACACCTGTGGGCCTTCGCCACCTTGCGAATCTCCCTTATAACCTCGAGCCGTAACGAATACCACTGCAATTCATTTTGTCGCCCGGCGCGCCACCGGCTTCCCATCTACCGTCGAGGTCGGCAATGGCTGGCCTGCCTCGAAGGCCAACCGTCCACTCGCTCCAGAGCGCCTCGACCATTTTTACTGCTCGGCACATCTGATACCGTGGCGGTGGCTCTGTCTTAACCGTGATCGTATCTGTCGCCGTCGGGCTCGTGGCACGGCTATCAACAATGCTCGACTGAGCCGAGACGAATCGGCTTCCATCTCCTCGTCCTCCTGCCCAACGACATCAACCACGGCCGGGGCCGTGGTGGCAGTGGTGGTCGTCGCGGCCGTAACGGAAGTTGAAACCATTCGAAAAAAGGGACGACTGGGCTACCGCAAGACGTTCTTCGGTGGCTCGAAGCTGCTCGCTTAGCTCTGTTTTAAGCTGGATCGTCCTTGCTTCGTTCCGCGCGTCGATGGATTTAAGATAGTCCGCGAGGACCGGCATCGCCTGGACTAGGACTGCAAGCTGGCTTGGACGCTCCTCTTCAAGGATGAAGTCCGATAGCTGGTGCGCGAACGGGGCGTAGGCCGGATGCCGGAAGACCGGGTGGTTCCAAACGGGGCTGCCGGGGTATTTCTTCATCAGGACAACGGAATCCTGCAAGACAACCTCCGTAAATAGAAGATGAGGTTCGTCGAACCCATCGCTGCCAGGTCGTTCTCCTGCTCGGTACCGGGACCGAACCGGCCTCGCCAACGGTCCAGCTCGGGCCAGATCATCGAGAGCAGGACCTCCGGCGGCGTCACGCCGGCACGGCGTATCTCGAAGCATCCGGCCTGCGGCGGGTGCCCGGCCATCGTACGCATGAACTTGCGAGGCAACGAGTTCAGGTAACAGCCGACCATCTGCTCCTGGTTCCAACGACCCGCGCGACGGATCTGGTCTTCGCTAATCCCTTTAGTTCAGCCGTCCTCGCCCCGAGCTGCGGCCGACATGCGTCTTCTTCTGCGACGTGACGCCGGCGTAGGCGAAGGCCTTGACAACCCACTCGCGCTGTGAGTTGTACGAGAAAGCCGCCGTCCGGCCGGTGCCGTTACCCTTGATTAGCCGGATGTCGTACCACGAGGACCGCCTGCTGAAATCGGGAAACGGCTCACTACCGAGATCCCAACGATACAAGAGGTAGAACGAGAGGCCACCCAAGATGCAGATTAGCGGGTTCCTATTCCGATACGCGCCGGCGGTCTCGAGGCGGCCGTGCTGGTTCTGCTTGCCGGCTCGTGTCGTAAAGATGAGCGGCATGCACCGGGTCGAGCCCTCCCCGGCAAACTCAAAGGTGAATAGGTCTGAGATCTCTGCAGCCCGACGATCGCCGCCACGGGTGAGAAGATAATGGCCAAAGAGGAGATCCACGAGGGTCCGAAAATGACACTCGGGCGATGTGCCGCTGTGGGCCCACAGCTCGTGGCATACTCGTTCGAACTCGGACTCCGAGTAACCATCGAGCAGAGTATCGCGGCCTTTATCGGCATAGTTCTCCTGTCTCGTTGGGCGTCCCGGCGCTGTAGGGACTTGAGGTACTCGTACGTTGTCCTCGCGCGGCGACGGGTGCGTATTCATTCCGAGGGCCTTCTGCGTCCGGTAAAGATCCGTGATTGCGGTGACATAAGTTCGGACCGACCGCCAGGCCAGGCGGGTCTCGTCCTGCGGAGTATCAGTGGCGGCCTTGCGGCTCCTGACCTTCAAGGGCCGACCGGCCACCTCCTCGACGAGGAAGAGGAGGAGCTTCTCCTCTGTGACCGTAGCGCCGTCACAGTACTGTTTGTGGCGGCAGAATTGCTCGAATTCCTCTTGCTTCGGTGCGTACGCCGAGGTCGTATTCCTTGGCCGAGACTCGTGGATCGCAGAGAGGATCGTCTGCGCATTGGCGCGTAGCTCCGCGTCGTTTATCGCGTTCTGCCGGATGCGTTGGTCCACTCGTACGCTCGACGGCTTTGCGCGACTCCTGCCCTGCCCCTGCCCCGGCCGCTGCTCCTGCGAGCTTCGGCTTGGGCCCCGCTTTGTCTTCGCCTTCCGTCGATTTGGCGTCCGGGCCATGGGATATATCGTGACGGGGAAGACCAAGGCAAGCCTGCGAGTGACCACCAGTCCGGGTTGGAGCGGGGTGGCGCGCGGCGACGAGAGATGCCCTATCTAGCGATCACGATGCGCACCGCCTGGTCGGGTCGCCCGCTAAAATTCCAGTGGACAGGGCGCCGTAGCGAACGTGAATAGCGGCTTCTCCATCGAATCAGCGACGCAATCAGCGGGGGGCACCGATATCTGCGTATATCCACGGCGCGCGCCGTTCGGGTGGGGTGGATATCCGCAGATACGATTGGCCCGCCTGGTCGCTGATTCTCGGATTGCCCCACCCGACCAGATCAGCGGCGCTCAGCAAACCCTCGGATACCAATAGGATATCCACAGCGGGGTTTTGGTGGCTGATTCAGCGGCTGAGCGCCACAACACCGCAGTTTAGCGTCCGTGCCCTCAGCGGCTTCCAATATCCACCCTTGTCCACGGTCGGCCGTCCGGCCGACCGCCGCCCGGAACGCCGCGTCTTGAAGGGCTCTCAAGGCTCGACGAGCTCGTCAAATTACGAGGGGGAGGGGAAACAAAAATAGTGTATTTCTACCTCTTTAGTTGTACAACTTTTGCCTTTCTGTTGGCTCGGAGCTGTTTGCAAAATAAGTCCAGCGAGCAGCCGGTTTGCTGCTGTTGTAAGTTGACAATGTGCATCGCGGCCTCCTCGCTACACCTGTGGGCCTTCGCCACCTTGCGAATCTCCCTTATAACCTCGAGCCGTAACGAATACCACTGCAATTCATTTTGTCGCCCGGCGCGCCACCGGCTTCCCATCTACCGTCGAGGTCGGCAATGGCTGGCCCGCCTCGAAGGCCAACCGTCCACTCGCTCCAGAGCGCCTCGACCATTTTTACTGCTCGGCACATCTGATACCGTGGCGGTGGCTCTGTCTTAACCGTGATCGTATCTGTCGCCGTCGGCTCGTGGCACGGCTATCAACAATGCTCGACTGAGCCGAGACGAATCGGCTTCCATCTCCTCGTCCTCCTGCCCAACGACATCAACCACGGCCGGGGCCGTGGTGGCAGTGGTGGTCGTCGCGGCCGTAACTTGGAAGTTGAAACCATTCGAAAAAAGGGACGACTGGGCTACCGCAAGACGTTCTTCGGTGGCTCGAAGCTGCTCGCTTAGCTCTGTTTTAAGCTGGATCGTCCTTGCTTCGTTCCGCGCGTCGATGGATTTAAGATAGTCCGCGAGGACCGGCATCGCCTGGACTAGGACTGCAAGCTGGCTTGGACGCTCCTCTTCAAGGATGAAGTCCGATAGCTGGTGCGCGAACGGGGCGTAGGCCGGATGCCGGAAGACCGGGTGGTTCCAAACGGGGCTGCCGGGGTATTTCTTCATCAGGACAACGGAATCCTGCAAGACAACCTCCCGTAAATAGAAGATGAGGTTCGTCGAACCCATCGCTGCCAGGTCGTTCTCCTGCTCGGTACCGGGACCGAACCGGCCTCGCCAACGGTCCAGCTCGGGCCAGATCATCGAGAGCAGGACCTCCGGCGGCGTCACGCCGGCACGGCGTATCTCGAAGCATCCGGCCTGCGGCGGGTGCCCGGCCATCGTACGCATGAACTTGCGAGGCAACGAGTTCAGGTAACAGCCGACCATCTGCTCCTGGTTCCAACGACCCGCGCGACGGATCTGGTCTTCGCTAATCCCATTAGTTCAGCCGTCCTCGCCCCGAGCTGCGGCCGACATGCGTCTTCTTCTGCGACGTGACGCCGGCGTAGGCGAAGGCCTTGACAACCCACTCGCGCTGTGAGTTGTACGAGAAAGCCGCCGTCCGGCCGGTGCCGTTACCCTTGATTAGCCGGATGTCGTACCACGAGGACCGCCTGCTGAAATCGGGAAACGGCTCACTACCGAGATCCCAACGATACAAGAGGTAGAACGAGAGGCCACCCAAGATGCAGATTAGCGGGTTCCTATTCCGATACGCGCCGGCGGTCTCGAGGCGGCCGTGCTGGTTCTGCTTGCCGGCTCGTGTCGTAAAGATGAGCGGCATGCACCGGGTCGAGCCCTCCCCGGCAAACTCAAAGGTGAATAGGTCTGAGATCTCTGCAGCCCGACGATCGCCGCCACGGGTGAGAAGATAATGGCCAAAGAGGAGATCCACGAGGGTCCGAAAATGACACTCGGGCGATGTGCCGCTGTGGGCCCACAGCTCGTGGCATACTCGTTCGAACTCGGACTCGAGTAACCATCGAGCAGAGTATCGCGGCCTTTATAGGCATAGTTCTCCCTGTCTCGTTGGGCGTCCCGGCGCTGTAGGGACTTGAGGTACTCGTACGTTGTCCTCGCGCGGCGACGGGTGCGTATTCATTCCGAGGGCCTTCTGCGTCCGGTAAAGATCCGTGATTGCGGTGACATAAGTTCGGACCGACCGCCAGGCCAGGCGGGTCTCGTCCTGCGGAGTATCAGTGGCGGCCTTGCGGCTCCTGACCTTCAAGGGCCGACCGGCCACCTCCTCGACGAGGAAGAGGAGCTTCTCCTCTGTGACCGTAGCGCCGTCACAGTACTGTTTGTGGCGGCAGAATTGCTCGAATTCCTCTTGCTTCGGTGCGTACGCCGAGGTCGTATTCCTGGCCGAGACTCGTGGATCGCAGAGAGGATCGTCTGCGCATTGGCGCGTAGCTCCGCGTCGTTTATCGCGTTCTGCCGGATGCGTTGGTCCACTCGTACGCTCGACGGCTTTGCGCGACTCCCTGCCCCTGCCCCTGCCCCGGCCGCTGCTCCTGCGAGCTTCGGCTTGGGCCCCGCTTTGTCTTCGCCTTCCGTCGATTTGGCGTCCGGGCCATGGGATATATCGTGACGGGGAAGACCAAGGCAAGCCTGCGAGTGACCACCAGTCCGGGTTGGAGCGGGGTGGCGCGCGGCGACGAGAGATGCCCTATCTAGCGATCACGATGCGCACCGCCTGGTCGGGTCGCCCGCTAAAATTCCAGTGGACAGGGCGCCGTAGCGAACGTGAATAGCGGCTTCTCCATCGAATCAGCGACGCAATCAGCGGGGGGGACCGATATCTGCGTATATCCACGGCGCGCGCCGTTCGGGTGGGGTGGATATCCGCAGATACGATTGGCCCGCCTGGTCGCTGATTCTCGGATTGCCCCACCCGACCAGATCAGCGGCGCTCAGCAAACCCTCGGATACCACAAAAATTCCGTGACAGTCGCCTCCCTAAATTTTGGGCATGAAAATGAGTGCATCTCAACGAACTACATCACACTACCGTACACAATAAGTTATCATTCGGAATACACATTAGATTCGACTTCTGGGGCTCCTCTTTAGTCTCTGACATGAAGAAGAAGTTAAATATAGCTTTACAGGCGACCATTCGAGCTCGCCGGCAGACTGGTTTCGAGACAAGTCGGGTTATCTCAACTGCCCAAGAATGGCTACGTATACGCTAATCCCGTATGTTTCTTGCTCTATTCAGCATTTTCGCACCTCACGAAAGTCTCGTAGCATCTCTTGTATGTTATCGTAGGGCCGAGTGTGATGTTGTGGGCATGGAGTATCTGCGAGAGATTCAGCCATGACAACTGGAGGCGATGAAGGCATCCACGATTCCCCCAATGCTATGTCTTCCTCTATAGATCGCTGGAGCATTTCGTCATCATTGTACTCTTCTTCGTCGTCTTCGTCGTCGTTGTTGAAGGGGCCGAGACCGTGAAAGTGAACTGTATCCTCACTGCCAGGTAAAGACGACATATCTCTAGGGATGCGGCCGCCTAACTGCGCGGGCGAGGATATCGCTTGCAGTGTTATTCGCCTTTGTAGTGTCTACAAAGAATGGGTCTGCTTTAGGTTCTTTCAGGGCCTTTGTGAATGTCTCGTGGGACTCTTGGAGTGTGTAGAACTCAATATCACGCCCCGTATGTTGTAGCCAAGGCTTGAAATTCATCGTCTTGAGTTTCCCGTTGACTTCCTGCTTCTTGCTAGCGCTGTAATCCGCCCTTATACCCGCCATCTCGTCGCGAATTCGTTTGAGATGCATCCGTAGCTCTCGCCGGGTTTGCCGCTTGTATGCTGCTCGAGACTGCATTCGTATTCGCGCTGGATGTCCTCGATGTTGCAGCTCGTGATGAATTGACCGGACGGCTTAACGATCTTGCCTCGCTTCTTCCTGCTTGCCCACGCTTCTATACGGCTATTTCGGTCCTTTATAAAGGATTGGACTTGAGATTGCAGGATGAGGGCTTCTGTCACCACCTTAGCAGTCTGACGCAAACCCTCACGAGTTGGTGAACTCAGTACGTCATGGTACCGCTGCCTAATCCTGTTCGTAGTATCCGCAGCGATCTGGAAACGGGCTTCATTAGGCAAAAGTGAGTTATAAGCCGGGTTCACAAGTCTCTGCTGCCGAAGCTGCTCGTTGAGAAGCCTTGCAACAACGGGTTTTGGTGTCACGGGGTAAAGACCTGTTTTTTCGAAGCCCGCAATGATGTTATGGCGCGTGAACCCAGCCTCGTAGACTTTTTGAAAAGCGTTGAGGAAGTCAACCCGCGAGAAAGCAAGGTGGCCCTCTGCGAGTGTTTTTCGTAGAGCTTTCTGGTGTGCCGCTTTCAGTGGTTGGAAAACACCAACATCTAGCGGCTGCATGATGTGTGGAATGAGGGGGAGAATGGCGATGATGATATCAAAATTGATGCAGTATTCAGCGAATTCGAGAGTCGTGTGCCCTGTAAAGCCATCTACAACGAGCAACCGGAAAATCCTATCTTTCTCGTCCCGTTGGGTCGGAGGTGCCTCAACCGTCGTCATCCCAAGGTTTGGAACACGAAGATGCTCATCACAGCCAAACCATTGTTCTAGTGACTTCCCAGAGCGTTGTGCTTGCGCTGAGGATGCCCAGGACCAGCGATTGAAGTGCCTCGCCCATTCGAGATGTATCTGAGCGTTGCTGAAGCCGGTTGGTGATTGAGCAAAGCGGACGCCACTATCAATAGCGATAAGTTACCGGCCCAATTCGTGGTAGGGAAATGCGCGAAGATGATCCAGGGAGGAAGAGAGTCCCCTGCAGCATTGATCGTGCCAATAACTGTGCAGGATTCTCGATTCGCCGGATCGAGAACTTCCACCCGACTCTTCACGCGTGTGGTGCGGGTCACGAGAACGTGTACGCGTTCTCGCAAGCAGCCGATCCGAATGCCGGCTTCATCTTCATTCCAAATCTCCGATGCCCCAATGCGAAACTTCTTGATAGTCTCATCGAGGTTAGAGAAGAAGTCATTCACTTCCTCAACACTCTGCGCTTCAAAAGACTTCCGTGCTCTCTCGACGGCCTTCAAGTAAGTCTTCTTGACCTCAGGGTGACTTTGGCGCCAGCCTGCGAGCCAGTTCTGAGACATAGGTCTTGATGATGGATCTCGTCGCTGCGCTGATTGTATTTGCGGCAGCCTCAAGCTGCTCCTTTCCCGCTGGAATACCAGTACGCTCCATCCACTGTATGTACGCCACAAGGGCGTTATCTTCATCCTCAGTCAACGCAGTTGGGCGCCCTGACCTCGGGCAAATGGGTTTTCCAAAGAACGGATGGCCCTCTCGACAGCGCCTCTATTGACTTTGTACCTAGAAGCCGCTTTGCGGATAGAAAGGGGGGTTCGCTGTGGTGTTGTGGCACGACGTAGGGCCGCTCTAGGCGGCCGGCGAGAGGCGATGACGGCTCGCGCGGCGGCTAGGGCATTGTCATTGGGAGTCATACCGTATGAAATAGAGAATAACCTCTCAAGTTGGTTTGGGTTGAAAAATACGCGTTGACGGCAATTGAGACGGTACTCAAAAGAGAGGCGACTGTCACGGAATTTTTGTGATGTCACGGATTTTTTGTGCCAACTAAAGGGCGTAAGACCTTTAGTGGGCTGCCGTGGCCCCACCACGCTTAGACCAACGGGTATTTGTAGATAAAAATGTGCGGCCGGTATGAATGGCTCTGCACATGGTATGGAGACGTGGACATGCATCACTATCAATGCTGAGGTAAGCCACCGGCATTAATCTCGACAAAATTTGATTGAACTAACACCTCTGCATTCGCGAAATGATACCGGGACAACCAAGTAGGGGATAAGAACTAATACCGAGGCCTAGCAAACGAGAGAAGTTCCTCCGCAATGGAGTCCCCCATAGCTCACCCTGCGGGCTTGCTTACGCAAGAAACCCTTGCTTTTACTCAGCTTTTCCGAATCTTTCAGTTTGTGGGAATTGTAGTAATCCATTGTACCCATCTAGATAGGTCACGTGCGCTCTCACGTGTGCAGTTGAGGATAGCGGAGGACACATAGCTAGCTCCGTGCCCTTTGCCCCCTCTTCCCCCTTTCTAGAACAGACATCAACGATTACACATACCATTGCGATTTGCACGCAGGCCTGTGTAGAGACCTACCGACACTGATCAGTGGTCGACTTGGTCGATCACAGACAGCTAGGAAGAAGAGACAAATCGCTAACCTTCAAGATCGGCTGCAAGGCATCGGTTGAGGAAGGTTATTTGTGCTAAGTGGCTATCTCAGGCTGCCAGGCATCTGGGAGAACCTACCAAGCTATTAATCGGCTGCAAGGCATCGATTAGTAGTGCGACCACATCGCCTAGCGACTTCTATTATCGGCTGCAAGGCATCGATCAACAGTTGTTACTAGACCCGACAAAGACGTATTTCGACAGCCAGATACGACTCCATCGTCTCATTCACTTGATCAACGATGACCCTGACCGACCGAGCTACGACTCGAACGAGAGCGCCCAGCTCGAACAATTGAGCGAACGGATGCAAGGACTAGCTATCCAGACATCCGTATTCGATAAAGTTGATGTTACCCTTTGGGGACAAGACATCAAACCTGACGAGGAAGATGAGATCGCAGTTACGACGTACGCCGCTAGGTTCATGTCCAATGCCCAATTCGAACGCCTAGAAGGAGACGACATCCTGACCACTTCCAACAACACTTCGAAGGCTGGAACCAAGACATATGGAACCGGGTACATATGGACTACAAGAGAGCCCTTAGATTACTTCTAAGGAGACGTGGCATCTATACAGGACGGAAAATGGCCCTTTGCACCCCAATTCATCATGTTGCAAACTGTGGAGGACCGACCTGCATGGCCAGAACGAGAGTACATGGAGATGGATTTTGACATTGGGACGACCGCTTATAAGTTACGAGCAACAGGATCAAATGCCCTAACTTCTCCCGAGAACCCCAATCGCCACCGGTAGCAACACCTCGTTACAGTCTTAACGAACAACAGCCCATTAAGACCTTAACGAAGCCACCTGCCCAGGAACCCATCACTGAGGCACTACCGATAACAACATCACCTCCCACGACTTCCGCTCTGACCCAAGATGCACCTAACTTGAACTCTCGTACAGCCCATCCGACAACCCACCGCTTCAAGCACCCTGAACTCGTCCAATCCGCCCAAAACCCCACCTAAACCTCCGTCCGAGCATATGCATCTCGACGCATATACAAAACTTCCCCCGGATGATACCCCGAATGCCACTGTTGACGCAGATACCCAATATATGTTCATGAAGCTCTGGGATAAGGACCAGAACTACACAGGAGAGCCGTACGACCTCCTCGATGAGAAACTCCGAATCTTCATGAGCATCTGCTACAACATCCAAGTGAAACCGTCACAATTTCACGCCCTTTTCCGCGAATCCTCGCCGGAAGAGCACAAACGTTCTACATTGACAAGATCGAATGGACTACCACGTTTAGGAAGGCATACGACAGCATCAAACAACGCTTTGACACGGAAGTTAACCACGTCCATTACTATACAGATTGGACCACAACCACTTTCAACTCGATTCGTGCCCAAGATGCTTCCAAATCCCTCCATGAAGTCCTTCAACTACTCTTCGATAAGCTACAACTCTGTCAGAGAGCCCTTGGCCCTGACTACGCAGGAAACATTCCACTGCGTACTACGCTTATCATCGCATGCCGTGGTGTACCCGAACTTGAACACGCCCTCTTCAAACCTGCAGCAAAGATCGAGACCTCTTTGCAGATCTACGATCTTCCGTTGAGACCCACCTTGCCCGACAGACAAACCCTCAGTACTTGCAAAGCCCTGACGGATCATTTGGACCAACGAATCCGAACAATCAGTACTACCTCGATCGCCGATACCATAACAACCGCGTACGAGGAAGATACGGATACTCAGGACAACGACCCAATCGCGGATATGGACAAGGCTACAACCGTGGAAGCTACAGGCCCTCAAGCCATAGCAACTACACCCCTAGCCACACCAATCGCAATTGGACCAAAAAGTGCTTTGTTTGTGGACAAGAAGGTTGCTGGTCAACCAAACACTCTGCAGAAGAACGACAAGAGGCCAGGACCAATATGTCGCACGTTGTCAATTCACAGGCATACAACCTCCAAACTTCATAGCCTATCTTATAGACTACGAAGGTCATGAGCTTGATGAACTCACTACCGACGACATATGGGAAGAACCTGACAATGGCACCAACAATCACCCTAGACAATGGAGAAGTCTACCGGACGGATCAAACCATTGTTCCCGCCTAGCAATTCGTCATTGAAGATCAATATTCAGTGGACAATTTCCCAGGCATCATGATTGACACAGGTGCAGCAAAAGTCTCTACAGCCGGTCACTCTTAGTACATTGCTCTATAATGAGAAGACCCCTCTGTAGCCTTAGACAGCTCAACCTCCGGCCAGGCTACCATCACATTTGGACACGGCGAAGCCATTCACTCGATTGGTTCCATCGCCCTCAAAACACCAGTCGGAAGGATTACGTTCCACATCCTTCAGACCCCTACCTAGGAAGAAGAAGAACCCCCAAACTGGTATGAAACCCCCGCACCCCACAAGAGAGGACGCCCGCCCGGATCAAAGAACAAGCCCCAGCCCGCAGCACACGGAGCCTCGAGGACCGGCCGGCACACAAGAGCAAATAACAATATGTGCCTGTAGTCCCTAGAGGAGCCATATGCCCACAAAGAAGAAAAGCTCGAGGAAGCACAATTTCGAGCCAAGCCAAAGACCTCGATGACCACAAGTACAACGGTTGACTCCAACGCATTTGATTAGCACCAGCGCTACGTTCAAGCATCAGCGCTACGTTCAAGGTATACACAATCAAACAGTTCCTGTCACCGACAAGTCTTCCAAATCTTCTTCGACTGTTCACCTCTTTGACCCCAATACACTCTTTTCCCTCTTTTCATTATGGCCCCACTTTTTGGGCCTGTTGACATTTTGCCACCAATGCAGCTGGTCTCTCCCTCTCTTTCCCTGCTCGTTACAGCGATTGCAACCACAAAAGAAAAGTTGCCAGTGTGGGAATTGTAGTAATCCATTGTACCCATCTAGATAGGTCACGTGCGCTCTCACGTGTGCAGTTGAGGATAGCGGAGGACACATAGCTAGCTCCGTGCCCTTTGCCCCCTCTTCCCCCTTTCTAGAACAGACATCAACGATTACACATACCATTGCGATTTGCACGCAGGCCTGTGTAGAGACCTACCGACACAGTTCAATATTCTTTGAACTCGGAGAAGCATTTTATCCCCACAGGCCGTTTAGTGTATCCCAGCCTGGACCACCTGTGGGTTTATCTTGTTTCTCTTTACCGGGTTGGCTATCGGCTTGAGGAAGAAGCTCATCAGAACCGACATTATTTTCTGAGTAGGAATTTGACCTTGTTGTCTTACCAGAAATTATTGAGCCATCAAGTCGATGAGCACCAGGGACATCAACCCATTGACCAGTACTGGGATCAAGTTTTTGACCTTGAGCATTAAGATAATTACCTTGACCATCAACTTGTTGAGCCGAATCGTTTTCTCTTGGTGCTATAACTTGGTCCGGCGTTGGGACGCTAGTCCCAGTCCCGGCAGGCACATGAAAAGGGCAATTGAAGCCTTCATGTTAGCAAAAAGGTACTCAAAAGGGGGACACCAAAAGGGAGTGAGGTAAAATCGATGATGGTGCTAGTAGAAGAAGTAAGTAGCATGCGAAGACTTTCCAGCTCGAGGTGGAATGCTCGCACTTTATAAGTTCGAGCCGCCCAGTAGTTTTGGCAATTACTAGACTGTCATGAAGAATTACTGCACAGGAATGACTCTTACACACACAGGTCAGGCTAGTAAATGCGCAAACTATTTAATAGTCTCCGCCAAAGTTTGCACTTAGGAGCGCTGATCCACAAGCCTGGGCTGCCTGCCCATGACTGGGTTCGCCTGATCTGACTCGCGCGTGATAAAAGTTACCGGTAGTACCATAATCGAGGCATAAGCAGATCTAGAAGCAGGACTTATCGTGGGGTCGATTTGCGGAGTAATTTCGGGAAATCGTATGCGATTACATATCTACCATCTGATAAGTGCCCGGCGCCGCGCACGCGAATATCTCCACGGCCAGCAGCCCAATCGAGGCCATTCCGGGGCCTGGGGGACTACTCCACTCCGGCGGCGCGTTTGGTCGAGGAGCACTCCGTATAGGCTACTGTCCGTCGAGATATTTGCGTTGCAGCGCCGCGAATGGGTAATGGGGGGGCTAGGCTCGGCTACAGGAACTGCGAGATAGTAATGCACCGATCCTACGGCCCTTTGATCCTCAAAAATATGTCTAGTTACATGGATATAAATATGTATAAAGACTCTACGAGGCGGCTGGCTTACGTCGACGAGGGCGGTCCGCTTTCCCAGCCGGGTCCTCCGCCCCGACGGCCCTGACCTCGAGTTGGACCTGGTCCCGGCCTGGACCTGGGTCATCGGGCACGGGGGTCCCTACCTGTACCCGTATCTGGCCCTGGCCCTGGCCCCGATCCTGGCCCCGCCGTCGGCGCTGTTTGAGCTCGTCGACGAGTCGGTTCAAGCTTCGGCCGGCGCGTAACAGCTCTAGCTCTGCAACGGCCGCCTCCTTGCATTTGCCGGACGCCATACGGGCCAACAGCTCGTCCCAGATCACCTTCCGGCGACAGAACTGCACTCTGACCCCGTTCCCCGGGCGCCAGCGGCTTCCCCACGTCTCTTCCAGCTCCCGTACGGCCTTCTGACCTGCAAACCCTTCACCCCATTCCTTCCAGACGTCCCCCACCGTAAAGACCCTTGCCAGGGCTGTGACGATAGGCATGCCTGGTACCAGAGGCTCTGGGGCGGGGGCCGGGGCCGGGGCCGGAGCTGTATTGAGATTCAAGGTAGGTACTGTTGACGGGGCCGGGGCCGGGGCTGGGGCCAGCGCCTCTGCTGACCCGGCTCCGAAGTAGCCGGTAAAGGTGATAGGGACCTTGCCTTGGAGGAGGGCATCGAGGCCGCCCTGAATCCCGTCCAGCCGGGCCTCGCCGGATGGCGAGCCGCTGACTATTCTGTAACAGGGCCTCCCGCGTGCTCTCTATGACGCCGCTTAGTTCCGGCAGCGCGCGTCGTACGAGCAGGCTTACCGGCTCCATAGCCCCTACCGCGGTGGACCGCACGGCGACGGCGAACTCGTCCCACTCGGGCCCGCCAAAAGGGGCGTAGGCGAAGAACGGTAGCGACGGGTAGCGGAGCTGTAGGACGGCCAGGTCCTGCAGAAGTACTATACGCAGGCGCCGCATAAGCAGGAAGCCGTCAGCGGCTAGGTCGTCGTCGTCGAGACCGCCTTCTGCCCAGCATTGCCGGCGCGCCCGCGCCTCAAAGCGGGGTTCCCACCTCGATCCACGGCCACAGCTGCTTTGTAAGACGTACGGGGTTCGTGAGCCGCACGCGCGAGGAAGTAGTCCCCGGGAGGCCGAGAAGCCGGCGACGATACGCATGAACTGCCGCGGTAGGTGCGTAAGATATGCCTGGCAGAGCACGCTCTGGTTCCAGCGGCCGGCCTGCGAGATCTGGGCGAGCGACGTGCCATGGGTCTCCGCGTCCTGGGCGCCCACCCTGCGCGGGAGGTGCGTCTTCTTCGACGCGATAAGGCCGGCAGCGCCGAAGATACGCCAGGTCTCTTGTAGCTGCGTCGGGTACGAGAGCTCCTGCTCGCGGTCCCGCCCGACGAGGACCTTGATCCGATACCAGTCCTGACGGCGCCGGAAGGACGGGGCGGTTCGCCGGCGACGTGCCAGCGCCAAAGAAGAGCTGTGCTAGGGCCCTTGCGTACAGAATAAGGGGTCCTTGTGCCGGAGCGCGCCCATAAACTCCTTCCTCGCCGTCTTATTTAGCTTGCCGTCCCGTAAAAGGCTTACCAGGCAACCACAGGGGTCGGGCCTCCGAAGGCGGATAGTCGAGTAGGGATAGGTCTGCAAGCTCCATCTTGCGCCGGTTCTCCCCCCGTAAGAGGTAGTAGTGGCCGAAGAGGAGGTCGACTCGCGTACGGAGGTTTTGCGGCGTATACGCGGCGCCAGTGAGAAGGAGATCCTGGATCCGAAGCCATTCATCGGGGAGGTAGCCGGCCTGATCCCGTCGCTTCCGCGGTCTTTAAAGGAGGCGCGGTCGTGCTTCCCCGCTGCCGGCCCCGTTGCTCAAGGAATCCTCGTACGGCGGCGCCCCGGGGATTCTCCGTATTCGCGTTGCCGTGAGCCACCTGGAGCCTCCATAGCTCGATAACGGCCGCGATATAGGCGTCGATAGTGCCCCTCGTAAGCAAAGACCCTTCGGTAAGGTCTACTGCAGCCGTCGCGAGGCCTGTGGGTGGCACGTAGCCCTCGCGGTCGTCAGCGAGCAGCTCGGCGGCCTCGGCCAGGGGGACCTCCAAAGCTTCGGCCAGGCTTTCGGCCTCTGCCATGGCCGCGGCCTCGAGCTGCTCCTGTTCGCGCTGTTGCCGTACCTGTACGGCCTCGCCGTTGCCGTTGCCCCTAATCTTACCCCGCGCGCGCGGCTTCTTCTTCTGCGGCGGCACAACGCGTCGTAACAGGATATCCTCTTTGAGCCACGCCGCCAGCTTGTCCGGCGTTACGAGCTCGCCGTCGGGCCAGCTATAGAGCGAGCCGTCTGCTGCAGCCCGAGGCGTATGGCACCAGGCCTATACGCATTTGTCTGTTAGCCGCCTAGGGGGCCGTACGTGACAGGGATCGAAGTGGAGGACCGGCCGGGGGGACGCGCCTTCCACTCCCGCTGCTTCGCCGCGTAACTCCGCGTCGTGTTCGCCGGCTGTTCGTCCTTCTTCGCCTGGATGCCCGCCCTCCGGGCGGCACGGGCGCGCTCGTCAGCTGCCGTGTACGAGTCGTCCGCGGCCATCTCGGTCGATCGGGCAACCTTCCTACGGGGCGAATGTCTGGGCTGGGTTGGCCGGAAACCCGATAAGTCGGGTGGGAACTTATCAAATGCACTTATCAGGCGTCCTGCACACGATTTCACGGGCGGCGTTTTGCGGGCGATAAGTGGTCACGTGGCCTAAGTGAATTACGACGCAATTGCGGGCACCACCGATAAGCAGCTACAAGCACGGAGTTTCCGTTGGGATCCAGCGGCTCCACCAGCTAGTCATAATGCCATTAAATGTCGCAATGCCGCTGCACCAGTGCACCTGGCAAAAGTGGAATGCACACTCCAACTTCTGGGCTCTCCCTCATGCGGAAAATGTCCTGCCGCAAGAACAAAATGTCGTAGTGGGCTGCATACGTTTCATGGGTCCGACTCGCTGGTTGATTTGGCGTTTGTTCTTCAGCGGGAGTCTACAGGATGCCCTGCCGTAGAGTAGACCTGCCCCCCCAACCCCCCCCCAACCCCGCCCCCTGTACAACCGGGATCCACGGTGCATGAACGAACGCCATCGTGATTTGTAGGGACGGCGTTGTCGGCTAGGATCTGACTCGCATCTTTTTAGTAAGGACGGGACTCAACCTCGATTTTGGGATCTTGTTTCAAGACCCATGGCGCTAAGCGGCGGCCTAGACTACAGAACCTCTGAACTTGTCAACGAGCTGAAGGTGGACATCGAGATGCTTGTTCCATCCAATCAACAGTGTCTTGAGAGACGGAGGCCAGTGGAAAAAGTGCTGCCCACGTTGACATCTGCACAGGGGTTAACTTCGATACACAATGCGGAGAGGGGGCCTACTAGGTACGTACTCAAGCCCCCGAGTATTGGCCCTTCAAGCGGCGGCATTTCGGTCGGTCGGCCGGCCGTTGACAAGGTGGATGGATATCGGAAGCCCCTGAGGGCCCCTGAGGGCACGGACGGCAGACTGGACCCTTGGAAGGAGAAATTCGTGATGTGCTTCGTTGACCGCCATCGTCACCTTGGCCACGCGACGACCTCTATTGTGGAGGATATACATTCTACGATGAAGAGGTTCCTTTGGTCCTCGATGGTCGATCTGAACTTGTCGAGAAGAAGGGTCTAAGACTCGTTCCTGAAGCCCTGATAGCTAGCTGAAGGTATAGGGACGAGACAGGATGAAACAGGGATGACGTGGCAAGCTGACGCGGAGAGAGGTGCCTATGAAGGAGATGGAAGACTGAAGAAGAGAGGGCAAAGAGCATAAATGGGAGAACGGTACAGCAGACAGGAGGAGGAACACAACGAAAACAGATGCACCTTAAAAATATTATGCCCCTTGCCCTGCTCTATTCGCGAGGGTTATGAGCCCGGGAGAACAGACGTTTCTGTAACTTCCGGCTGCTGCAAGAAGCACCGATCATCTGATCATTACACCTATCCCCACCCTCCGTCCGCAAAGATGACAAAGACCGGGACTTCGACCCAACGAACGATCCTACGGGAACCCCAAGATTGGGATAAGTGGGTCAAAGAACTAAAAGCTCATAGCGCGAGATGGAAGAAGCGCGGACGAGGGGAATTCAGGCAAGCACTAGTGCGATGGACGGGCTACGCAGAACCGACTTGGGAGCCACTTGAGTGGTTGCAAGGAACAATTGCGATGAAGGCATTCGAGGACAAGTACGGGCCAATCAAGACCAATGATGGCCCTAGGGAACGAGACGCTGGCAGGAAAGCAAGAACCCCGCAGACGCCGACCTGGTCGGAGGAGGAAGGGGCTAATGTCACGGGCTGTGCCCAGCTTGGTGGACCCGGTTGTACCGGGTCCGGTGGGTCGTGCTCGGGTGGCAGCACCGGCCCCGCTCCGCGGACCCGGAAGCTGCGAGAACATTCTGTGAATCTCGCGAAGATGAGAGCAAAAGTGGGCATAGAAGTGGATAAAGGGACTTTTCGAGTATCATATGATCAGATGGTATGCGAGAATGCATGTGTTGATTGCTCTGCCCCCGGTTGCCCTTTTCCCGTCCAAACGGCCTCTTTTGTATCCCTCCAAGCTTCTCCCAAGTTGATATCCCGTTTTCAGGTATAGTATACATTCTATCAGAAAGAGGGCACTTCTTGCCACTTACTGAAGGCCACGTAAGTCATCTACGTCAGCAACATCAGCTCCATCTCCCCGATCAAATAGCTCTTCTAGCTATTAGATAGATAGTTCAGTCTCTCGAGGTCCCCGAGCCAGTAATAATTACGCCGGACTCCTCAAAAGGTCCCCGTTCGAATAGGAGATCCTCCGGACCCCTCGTGGTCTAGGAAGAAGAAAGAACAGTCTGCAGACTTCCTTCTTACCTGGTTTCAAGCTGTATTACCTAGAGACCTAGAGACCTCAACTCGTTCGGACCTTCTTCTCGACAGCGTCAGGTGTTGAAAATTGTTGCATGACCTAGTGCGTTGCATGACGCAGTGGGGTACGTTAGTCAGCATCTGTTTTACGTGGAATACGGTCGCACATTAAGCAACAAAGGCACGCACCGCAAAAAAGAAATCGCGCTAAACCGCCACGACGCCGCCTGACCCCTCAACCCCGCCTGCCTCAAGGCACAAGACCGTATGGAGCCCTCGTCCGACGTCAAATAACCCAATTGAGACCACTGCATTGCTATATCTGCGATACAACGATGCCTAAACGCAGTATTGATCTTGAGCCCTTCCGGGATCACATTAATGGTCTCTTCCTGTCAAGGTCTACGCAACAGGAAATGCTGCAATCGTTGAACAGCCTGCTCGTCGCCCAAGACTCTCCGACAATCAGCTTACGGACCCTTCAGACCCAAATTGCCGCCTGGGGACTATCTCGTCAATTACGGCTTGATGACTTGTTCGAAGAGATCGTTGAGATGCATGAGTTAAAGTTTACACTTACGGGTATACTGGCTCAAGTCAATGATACCCTTCGTGCAAGAAGCAGGGCAGAGATCTCGTTACGCACATTAAAGAGCCATCTGGCCACTCTGGGTCTTTCACGGCAGAATATACACATCACTGAAGAGCTTATTGAACGAGTTCGCTTTTACTTCTATACATACGGGTATAGTGACTCTTCAATCGTTCGTGACTTACGGACCAAGGATGGAATGACGGTATCTCTCGCAATAAAATGAGGGTAAGAGTCAATCTGTTCATTGTCGTCTATCTAAAATGAATGTGAGAAGTTCTGTCTCCTTATAGTCCTGAGGGAATATGACTGCCTTGCGGTGGCGAATTGCCACTTGCCACCCAGGGTGCTTTTGTAATGTTATCTAGAAAGTTCGATGACATCGCTTATCAACCGCGCATTTCATTATACGCATCCTGAATGCGACAGTATCCCTTCACACAGTCGTACGCACTCGACTACAGAATGGAATGAAACGCCGTTATCGCACGGACGACGAACGGCAAGCAGCTCTTCGTGCCGCGATTGAATTCATTGGAAGGGACCTCCAAGAGACATCTGCGGTTCGTTCATTTGGCAGAGGCTATCTCTACAACTATGTCCGACTAAAAGGTGGCGTCTTGGTATCGCAAAACCGTCTCTATGACTTTTACCGTTCAGTCTTTCCGGAGGAAGTCCAAAGGCGCCGCGAGGGCAACTTCAAGCATCGTACTGACTTTACCGTGCCGGGACCAAACTTCCTTTGGTGCCTCGATGGGTACGAGAAGCTCAAGCGCTTCGGCTTTCAAGTCTATGCTTGCATTGATGCATATTCGCGCTGTATTGTCTGGTTCTTCTTGGGAAGGTCAGCGACTACAGCGTTAAGCACACTCAAGCAGTATCTTGTTGCTGTACAGCATCTTGAATGCGCCCTTTTTCACTCGCTGTGACCACGGCGTCGAGACTCCTCTTTGGGTTGCGGCACAAGCGGCGATTGCAAGAGCTGGGTCAGCACGATTTACGTATGAGGATATAAATGGTATGCGTCACATGTATCGCCAAGGAGACCTTATTGAGTCTTGTCATATGTACGGGCCAAGTACACGGAATGTGCGAATCGAGTCATGGTGGCGAAGCCTTCGAGTTGGAGCGTCAGAGCGATGGATTGTAAGTCAATCGAACTATTAGACTACATATATACGCTAATTATAGAGTAGTCTTTCTTCAATGAGCTTGCACACTCGGCTTTATTCATTGAGTCGATGTTAGTGACCAGATTGCGCTATACGCAATCTATACACCGATGATCAGGGACGAATTTGCAACCTTCGTGGACCTTTGAACTCTCACAAGATCCGCACACAACGAAATCGTCAACATGTAATAAGCGGCCGACCTATAGATCTCTATAATACGGATCAGGCACCGAACTGGGGTGTGCATCTTAGCGAGGGTGATGAGGGTATGGCCAGCGAGGTTCTGCAGGATTTACTCGAGCCGATACAAGATATCGACATCGATTCCTTCTTGCCACAAGAGACAGCAGACTGGTGTATGCAAGAGCTGACAGCGATGGGGTTTGACGGGTTGCTTGATTCAAGGCAAGATCACAAGCACCCCTTCTTTGAGGAATATATGGAACTTCGCCGTCGAATACGGCAGCATCAGGAAAGTGGTCACCAGCCAATTCTTGCAGTAATGGAGCCGCCACGAGGCGGGCTGGCAAGATATGTGAGCAACTTCACTCTTGGTGTAAATACATGTGCGTATTAAAATAATATAGGTACAACTAGACCAAATCCTCGAACAAACCATTCTCTCCGACGAGCTCAAGCCCAGCTTCAGGGCGATGCTATTCCACTAAGCGCTCAACACCAATTCCAACTATTTGGAGAGGAAGGCATTGATAATGTGCCTGAGCCGGGCACCAGTTAGAGTCGTCTCTTCTGGAGGTGCCTGGTGTTATAAGCTGGCCCTCTCGCCGCCTCTGTATCTGTAGAGGCCTCGCCTTCTCCCTCGTCCTGCCCCTCGTCTTGCTCCCTATCTTGCTCCTCGTCTTGGCCCTCGCGAGAGGAGAACGAGCTGCGGCGTGAGGATTGGCAGTGGATAGAGCAGGCTGGCAAACCACTCAATCCTGGCAACCGGTTGCTCAATCCAGTTGAGCAACTGGCAACTCAATCAACGCAATCGATGGTCGGCTGATTAAGCCGGCAATTCAATCCGATCTCGCGTTGATTGACGGGATTGACGGAATTGGTTTAGTTTAGTTTAGTGTATTTTCCGTCCAGCAACTTTTGGTCGCTCAGGTCTCCGCAGGGGAGCACAGGACGTGCTGAGCTAGCAGGTGTCTACATGCTACATATCGTACACTTCACCCACTATCCAGCATTTCATCGGCTCAACGGCGCTCATGACAAACCTGTTGCCCGTCAGCGGGACGTCCAGGCATGAAGAGAAAGCTGTCCCGTGGTCAGATCAGCCAATTTGCTTCTGGGGCCTTGCAGCCCTTGATGACCTCGGCGATCGCATGGTCGCGAGATCTTGACGCCGCCCGAGATCGGAGCAGGTAACAGAAAGGATTGAGAGGAAAAGGTAGGGTGAGAGAATGATGACCGTCTAGTGGCGTGGGCAGATCCTCCGAAGAAGGAGCTCGCTTTCGCCAGCCTGACGAATTTGTCAAAGTCCTTGCCGATTGCGCGGTTGATGGCTGCAGGCGGCGAAGGTGCAAGCCGCATACGATGCCGTGGCGCAACCTTTCTGCAGTAAAAGATGTGTGCTGGCTCTTTCGTCTTCCGCACGAGCACGTCAGTCGCGCATTGTCGTGACCAAACCTTTCGTGGTAGTCAGCAAAATCCCCATGGTGGGTTCTTGCTGCAAGCAAGTTATGAAGCAGGGGCCGAGAGAGCGCCAATTCTGACGGGCAGCTGGTTGTGGCTTTAAGCCTCAGGTCTCTGTATCGCTCCGGCGCAGAGGCTTCCCACCAGGCCTTGAAAGCCTCTTCCGGCTGCTGTCGGGCAATCTTTCGCAGGTGCGCTAGCGTCGGGACGTTATCAGCGGGTTCTGGCAGTGATGCTCCCGCCTTTGCCAGAGCATCAGCCTCCTCGTTGCCTGGGATGTCAGCATGGCCGGGGATCCAATGGACCTCCACAGCTCCGTATTTTCGCGCCAAAGATTGAAACTCAAGGAAGACCTCTTGCGAGGAGTCGCTCGGCGTGCCCGTAAGCATGTTGCGGTCGCGAGGTTGTCGAGGCAGACAAAGATGCGGTCAGTTTCTGGAAGGCTCACCGCAGCCTTCAACCCCTCCAACGCACCTTTCGCCTCAGCGTCGAAAACCTCGGCGGGCCCGAGACGGCCCTTGTCGCGCAAGACGGTGGATCCGTCCCGATGAACAACATAGCCATATCCGGCGTGGCCTTCGGCAGAACGGGACCCGTCGGAATAGACGACCAGAGTTCGGGGCGATAGTGCCTGGAGCCAATCGCGAAATTTCTTCGCCGTCTCATTTTCGATGCACTCTGCAGAGGCGCAGTCTGCTCTTCGACAAATCCGCGCTGCAGCAAGGCAGGCCTTGGGCAGCTTGGTAGCAATTCGTCGGAGCGCCGCAGCCTAGTCCGGAAGGGTTTTGGCTGCTTTTGGTACTTCAGCTTGATCATTTCATTCAGTATAGGGCTTTTGGCCTCGACGTGCGCTTCACGAGCGGATGAGCTTCGTCCAGGGATTTGAGACGCGCAGCAAATGCAGTCCGGCGCGCCTCGAGCAGCAGAGGGACCGGCGGTATCCCTGCCTCCCGGTGCAGAACATTCGTTGGTGTAGTTCTCCACACTGGCAGGATAGCCCGAAGAGATGTGTAGAGTGCCTTGCTCATCTTCTTTACGAGGTGTCCGATCCTGGACGGTCCTTCCTTGCCCGGCTTGGTCCAGCGCGGGCGCGTAGAACCAGGATACCAGACCTCCGCCGCGTAGAGCAGCACTGGAATGACGCAAGCGCAGACCGCTCGTCGCACAGCGCTCGGTAGAGGACCATGCCTGGTGTTTGTCAGTCTCCTGAGATGGAAGGCGACTGCTTGCGCTTTGGCCGTCCATTTCTCGACATGAGTCTTGAAAGACAGAGTGCTGTCGAGCCAGACGCCGAGCCAACGCATCGCCCGGCCCGGCCGTTTCTCAAATTCGCCATGGAGCACTGGCGGCGCCGTCTTGGGCGTCGTTCGAGAGAAGTGCATCACTTCTGTCTTCTCAGGGTCTAAGGAGATCCGTTGGCGGCGCCCCACGATACAAGCTCACGCACATGATGAGATGCTTCGGCGGACGTCTCATCCAGGCTATCGCCGACGCAAAGGATGGCAGTGTCGTCCGCATAGCCGAAACGCCCTTTGAGCTGCCCAAGCGGTAGATTGGTTCCGGATACAGTAGGAAGAGGATCGGCGAGACTGGCGATCCCTGTGGCAGCCCGCACTGAGAGGCGATGAATTCGTTGCGATATCTTGATAGCGGATGCGTGCCGACCTGTCTTGCATAAACGAGCCGACCCATCGCGCGAGGTTCGGTGGCCACCCTTGCTCCCGTAGGCGAAGGATCAATCTGTTGCGGAGGACTGTGTCGAAGGCGCCCTGAATGTCCAAAGTCACCAATGTTGCAACCTGCTTGCAGGCAAATGCCTCCTCGATGTCATGAATCAAGGCAGCAACGAGATCCACGGCCGATCTCTTCGGGAGCGCGCCGGCTTGTTGTGGTGTAGTACGCCGAAATGGACCGAGGCCCACGCTAGACGCCGTGCGATGAGCCGCTCGAGGCCCTTGCCGAGACAGGACAAAAGGGAGATGGGGCGCCAAGCGCGGGGTGTAGAGATCCCTGCGCCCCGGCTTGGCAATCATGACCACTTCTGCTTCTCGGAAGGGCTTCGGATGGTGGCCAATCCTGAGGCAGCCTTGATATAGCTGGTGGACGAGACTTCCGATCGCATGCCAGACAGCGCGGAGCATCCGCACCGTAATATTGTCGGGACCAGGGACGTATTCCCGGTGCGTAGCGTGGCGTCGCGGGTCTCCTCCGGAGAGACTCGGTCGGTGAAGGGTATCGTCCTATCTGTGTTCACGGAGATCCACGGATCTGGGATGTCGTCGTTCGCCGTGCGCCGTTCCAGAGTGGCTTGTCGCAAGGCGGTGGCCTTTTCCAGCTGCGTCTCATACACTCGGTCGTCAATTTGCAGGAGGAGCTTGAAACGGACCTGGAGACTTCAGCCAGCGGACCGCCCTGAAGACGGAGGCGCTATCGGTGAAGCTGTCAATCAAGTTACGCCAGTAAAGGCGCTTGGCCCGGCGCACCACGCTATGGAGCTCCTCTTGGCTAGCTGTACTTCTCGGTCGAAGCCGAGAGTGAACTCTCCTCCACGCGCGGTAATTGGCCGCCGCCTTTGCGCATTCTTCAGTCCACCACCGCGCACCATGCGTAGTCTTACGGGCAGGTCGACCGGCAGCTCTGGCTGCACAACCAAGAAGGTTCACGAGCGCCGACGCAAAGCTGTCGAGCTCGGAAGGAGATGCCGTGGTGATCGGGATGAAGGCGGCACCGGCCTCCACTAATTCAATGAATCGCTTCAATTCCTCGTCGGAGTTGAGATGGATCTTTCCTATTGGAAGGGGTGCCAGAACTTGTCCTGGCAGCGTGATACTAAGGGTAAAATGATCGGAGCCGGTTGCTAGATGATCCTCGACAACAGCGTCGGCCAGAGGTATGTTGCAGAAGGCGAGATCAACCGTATTGCCGTGTGCGTTGGTCGGGACATCGACAGGATTCAGTAAGCCGAGTCGATTGTCCATTGCCCAAAACGCTATTTCTTCGCCGCGGTCCTCTCGTCGACCGGCCTGCCAGCTGGGATGTTTGGCATTGAAATCACCAGCAACAAGACACTTGTCCGGTACGGTCCACTGAAGCAAGATTTCAAGGGCTCCGTCGTGGTACGGCTGCCGATAGAAGTTGACGACTGTTATGCCGTTGACGGTGAGCCAAAGGATGTCACGAGTCGCCGCAGGTCTCTTTTGATCAGCGACGAGACCTGCGGAACGCCGGACGTATGTCATGACTCTCGGGCGAGTGTCGCGGCCGTCCCAGTCGTTGACGGGTGAGAAGGTGTCGTAGGCCTGATGCGTCTTAGTGAGGCATCGGCCATCTTTCAGTCCTGTCCATGGCTCCTGCAACAAAATAATGTCGTATTGTTCCGAGTCGGCCAACGCAAGGGCACAATCGTGTGCCGGCGGAATCTTGCCTACGTTGGCTTGGAAGATTCGCAAGATCCTCCTATCGCTTCGATTGCGTGGAAAACAGCGAGGCATTAGGGTAGCGTCACAGGACTAGTGCGTCGTTTCTTCGATGGGACGACAGGAGGAACTGGTCGCCGTCCCTTACATGCGGCGGCGTTGTGGCCACAACGATGCATGGGGTTGACGGCGCGGCTGGCTCGTAAATGGCGCCCATGTCGGAGCTTCCATCTCCTCCAGCTGCCCGCGGCGCCGTTGACTCCAAGGAAAGTATCTGCGGCCTGCCAGGGCTCTGATTAGACTGGTCGGACACTCTGGCCTTTGAGTCTGCCGCTTCTGCTGCGCAGAGCTGAACTCCCATCTGCCGTACCAGGCTCTTCTCCTCCTTCGTCAGGCGCCGGACCATGCCGTGAACGCGCTTGGGGCGGGCAGGGCATTTGGGGTCATCCGCGCAATGGGGTCCAAGGCAGTTTGCACACTGCTCGAGGGCGGTGCATTCTTGGCTACGATGGCCGGTTTTGCCACAACGCCTGCAGCGCGCCGTTCGATCGCAGCTGTGTCGAACGTGGAAATCCCAGCACTTGTCACATTGGCTAGGAATGCTGGGCTTGTCGATATAGCGGGCGAACCGGCTGGCGCCGAACAGTCGCCAGGGTCTCTGCGTGGGTTCCAGGAAGGATACAATAAGGGTCTGGGTAGGCATATCGCCCGAGTCGTGTCGCGAGGTCCGTATGCTGATGGGCTTCAGTCCGGTTTGGCAGGCAATTTCTTCTTTGACCGCCTCATCGAAGTTGATCTCAACGCCGCGTAGGTCCGTGAGCCTACGGGGGCAATCGGCTACGACATACGAATGCCATTTCTGGCTAATCTCTACGGCCGTCGCGTCCAGATCTACGGCCCAATCCGCCTGTCGCTGCACGAGTAGTTCGCGCGTGGCCACATCCGATGCCAGGATGGCCCAACCCGTGTTTACCGGGAAGGCTGCCGGGATGCGGCGTAGGTCGATGCCGACTCTGGCGGCGATGTGGGTCCGGATTGCGTATCTTTCATGGTTTCGGGCCGGAGCATCGGCGTCAAGTCGGACAAAGACACGCAGGTCTTCCTTGGGTGGGGCCACGGGCGGTCGTCCTTGGAGACGAGTGGTGGTTTGCTGTTTTCGCTGTGGTGGGGCGGAGGCCGTAATGGCCAGCTGTCCTTGTGTCGTTTTGCCGGATGCGAGAACGCTGCTGTACGTAGGTTTCGGTGGTTCCTCAAGGTCGGCGAGCGATTGAGTCCAGAGGTTCAGAAACTTGGTGGCAACTTGCTTTGCGATGCTATTGTGGGAGCCGGACGTGAATTGTTTGGCTGTCTGTTCGAATGATTCGCTAAAGGCCCGAAAGACTGCCAGCTTGGCATCATGGGCTGCCGTTTGGTCGCGAGCGATCTTTGTAGCCGCTTCGATGATGGAGACAGGTGCATTTTCCGTAGACCCGGTCGAACCAGGGCCATTCGGGATTATTTCCGGCTGCGTTCCTTCCGCGACGGCAGCGTTGGGCGTGTCGCTGGGAGACGTCGGTCGAGGAGCTGCTGAGCCGCCAGGGTTGAGACATTTGGACGAGCCTCCGCCGGAGAGGACAGTAGGTGCTGAGATGCACGGGCTGCTAGATCAGGTGGCGATTGTATGTCGACAGCACAGGAGCGGCGCGCGAACCTGAGGCTGGTGCCATGGCCGCTGCCGGCGCTTTCGCGCGGCGCTGTTGCGGAATTTTCAAGAGCACTGTTAAGCGAAAAGCTGTATGGATAGGCTACTTCCTTAACACTTGCGTGCCAAGAAAGTAAAAATGCAGGAAGGATGATGGTGCCCGTCAGCGGGATTTTCAGGCGCGCTCTAGGGTAGCCCCAAGTGCGATCTACCGGAAACAACTATGTCCTTACCTTCGGGTAGAGCATGAAGACACATGGGCTGTATTGTTTCAAGTGGGTTTGCTACTCATCGTACTCTCGTACTCGAGTATCCCTGAAATTTATTCGCGGCTTGCCACTGGTGGGAATCCATCGCAGCCGCGTGCCTGGAGAAGTTGCCCAAATTTTGAATCCGTGCCGCCGACTTCCCAAAGGGGACGCCGCCAGCATCCTAATTGGCCCGCGCCTCGAGCCCCACCACCAGTCCGGATCGGGTGGGGCGGCGCGCGGGCTACAAGAGACTATATCCAGCGACCATGATACACACCGCCGTGCCGGTGGGTCGTTAAACGCCCGTGGACAGGGCGTCGTAGCGAACGTGGATAGCGGCTCCTCCATGGAATCGGCTACACAATCAGCAGGGGCGACGATATCTGTATATCCACGGCCCCTGCCGTAACGGCAGGATGGATATCCGCGGATACGATTGACTCGCCTGGTCGCTGATTCTGGACTCGCCCCACCCGACCAGATCAGCGGTGCTCAGCAAGCCCTCGGATACCATCGGATTACAGCTAGAATCGTTCACGCCCCAATGCCCGATGCCGCTGTATGGGGGACAGACTACAATCGATGCAAATTTCATGGCTGTAACAGGCTGAGCCCGTGAGGGTCTCGGCTCCGCTCTCGACAAGACCCACCGGAGCTCCGCTTATAAGCTCGTACCAATCTTCGAGAGCTTTCCTTTCCTTTCCTCTTCTTTTCTTTCTCCTTAGCTTTAGGATACTCGTCGCAGTCGCTCAACGAGTTGTCAACACACTCAGTTGAGACCGTTACAATGGCAAAGTATTACTTGGACTTCAATGAACTGACCCGGATAGCCTCTATTCGTTACCAATACAGGAAAAACCCTATAGCCGAAGCCCGGGATGAAAACCCCCCTTATTCTATCCTGTCTGCGCATATGTCTTTCAACGTTGAGCATCTTGTCGCCTATCGTGGTTGGTGGATATCGTAGGGGTTGGACGGTGACGTTGAGAGTTTTGCGGCGTTGTTGAGGTGTTGGTTGCGTGGTAACGCGCTGCGCAGGCGGCCCGAGGATTTTTCGACCGTCGGGCGAGGTCGTCCGCATGCGTGTGATGTCGCCCACACGGGTGCTTCAAGGCGGCGGTAAAATGACGGGAGCGCCCCCGCTAGGGATGACCCAGGTCCCTAGAGGCTGTATTCCCCATTTGGTACAACCTAACTGTAAGGCAGGATGGGCTAGTCTGCCGGTCTCGACCTCCCCCCAAAGGTCGTGTCCCCGGTCGGATTCGAACCGACTCCGCCACGAGGGCGGCCTCAAAGCGTATGACCAATACGCCACGAGGGTTTGAATGCCAGGCGGCTTCTTGATGCCTGGCCACTGGGCTCCTTCGAGCCGTCACTACGTCAATCACAGCCTCCCTAAACCGACTCCACACACGCCGAATAATACTCCCAATGAGCCCTTATGGTAGCTCTGGATCAAGGGGAGCCAACGGGCGACATGGACCTGAGAAAGTACTACTGTGACATCCGTCGATTCGGGCCCCAAAGGATGGGCCTTGCCAAAACGGCACCACAGGACAGGTCGGCACTAGTATTAGTACGACCACCCCAACACAACGGTGTAGACGCGCGCGGCTGCATGAGGAACGTCTCACGCCAACCGGCCGCTGACCGCAGTGCAACTACAACACCCGCACGCCAACCGGAGCCTACGCTCCACCCGCCAGTCTGGAACATCCTTCAATGCACCCAAGCCGGCCGGTGGCGGACCATCGCCGGTACGTAGGCCTGACGGTCCGCCGTGGGACGGGCTAACTGCCTAGTCCGGCTCAGCGGGTAGGGGTCGTCTGAAAGTGGCCGGCGTGCTGCTGTTCAAGGTGAAACGGGGCGTACTTCCATCCCTGCACACCATTCCGGGGTGAGTATGGTCCACATCTGAGACGTAAGCCCACGGATTTGACTTGTCGACATTGAACGCTAACCCGGAGTATTCGGCGGGGTGTGGTGAGTAATCGAAATGTAGCCCCGTTTGCCGTATGGGCCGCCGCCTTCCGGATGCGTGCGGCCAGTAACGGGTCGGGGGCACCCTGAAACCCACCACGTGGCAGTAACAGCCAGCCGTATCGTCAGCCATCTGGTTACCGAACAGGTCGTACCACCAACCGCGCTCGTGATCGCTGCAGAAGTGCAACAGTTCGTTCACACCGACCATGTTACACAACGCCACTAAGGATGGCAGACCGTGGCTGTCGCAGTACGACAGCACTCGCCATGCCTGGGCCGGGGGTCGGGCGGGAGGTGGCTTCCCAAAGACGACCGCCGTTTGTGGCTCGGCGGTTCCGTCCGGGCTCTAGTCCCATACGGCGCCGTCGCGAGAGCTCGGGCTGCCTTCGGATCGACCCGACCGGCCTTCGGTCCTTTCGCGCCGGGATCTTTTCTTGGCGCTTCACAGGCGTTGATCCTTCCCCTGGCTGGGTTTACCCATAGGAGCGGGTTTTTCACATTGGGGCAACGGATGCACTGTGTCCCCGCGGCCGGGAGCTGACACGCTAACGGGCGTACAGCCGAAGAACATTCCGTCCGATACAATCAGCCTTCCGTGCACATCGCCGCCAACCCCGCCACGGTCGGGCCTTGTGCACATTACGAAGTAACTCGGGGTGCCGGCCGGTCCACCGAGCCAACAGGCGACCGTGACCAGCGGGCGGCCCAGCGGCACACACTGCTGCTCCGACGCCGTAATGTCCACGGTCGGTACGCGTGGAAACAGTAGCGCTGTAGTCACACCGGCCACCAACGCCCATAAAGGAGGCGGGCCAACGATCGGGAGTTTGGCACAAACGGTGGCCGGCGAGAGGGGAGTGGTGGGCGCCATGTCGAGGCGGTTGTAGGCTGGGTCCGGACGTCGGCTTGCCACCTTTACCCGGACTGCCAGCTGTCCTCGTGTCTGGTGCGGCTGACCAGTAGATAACCTCGTAATCTGACGAGAGCCGGTCGCACTGCTTGTGACGCGAGGCTCGGCCAGCACTGGCGGTGTCGGGCACGGTGCGGATGTGACCGCAGGCAATGCTTTCCCGAGCTGCTACTTATGGCGGCGGGCGGGGCCTTGCCTTTGGCTGGTAGGGGCCACACGTTGACCGGGTCGGCTACGTGTGCTGCCCCACCAGTGGTGGTGATTTTGACTAGCCGGACGCCTTGACTAGCTGATAGTGGCCCTGCTACTTGGGCCACAGCGGTGAACAAGAGGAATCGATCAATGCTCGATAAGTGATAGAGAGGAGCTGCTATTCGTCCTTAAGTCCGAAGATGCTCTGCAGCTTTTATAGGTAAATGGTTTGCCTATATAGTATTGTCTCACACTTCCTTACTTTATTAATCGAGGTATAAAGGATGGATATGAAGCAGATGCTTAGATGCTAGCAGCGTTCTACTACATTCCGCTAGAGTCTTCTGCTTAAAACAGACTATGTCGGCAGAAACGTATATATACAAGGTGTGGGTCGCAACCGTATGGGGCATAAATGTAGCTGAGGACGTCTTACGGGGAGCTAGCGCGATCAAACCCAGGTACGTACGCGATGCTAGGATAGGTTTAGGAAGAAAATTGCCCGGCCTTATCAGCATATAAGCTACAAGCCTGGTGGGCCTAAAAGTCGGCCGCCGACCCTGTTCTACAGGGACGGGGTGCGTTGATTAAGGACAAACGCGTTGATCGGGAAGGAAAAAAAAATTACATAGAATGATGATCCTACTACATAAATGTAAGTACTACTGTTTTCTTACATAACCGCGCTAATTTCAAATTCCATCAACACCAACACGCATTTTCGTATAGCAACACATCACTTGGCCGAGAACCTAAGATCGCGATGTCATACAAGAGGCGGCTGACTTGGTGACCTTGGAGGCCATAGAGCGTGCCACATTGCAGGTACTGACCCTTGAGGCTGATGGGGTATAAATAATAGGTGACAGCTTCATTGAGGGTACCGGGCATAAATTTGAAGTCATCAAGGCAGAGCTAGAATAATAGTATCTTCATCAGTTTCAGGTCACGATGGTATGTAGAATCCCCGACTTGTTGCATACATCGTACTGGCGGGATTAGTTGTGCGTTTAACCGATTAAATGTAATACTTTGTTTAGCTAATAAATTTGCGGGGCTAAGAAGTACCTGCCTTTCCCCAATCAACGCGTTTGTCCTCAATCAACGCACCCCCCGTTGTCGAGAAGAAGGTCCGAACGAGTTGAGGTCTCTAGGTCTCTCTAGGTAATACAGCTTGAAACCAGGTAAGAAGGGAAGTCTGCAGACTGTTGTTTCTTCTTCCTAGACCACTGAGGGGTCCGGAGGATCTCCTATTCGAACGGGGACCTTTTGAGGAGTCCGGCATAACTATTACTGGCTCGGGGACCTCGAGAGACTGAACTATCGATTTCATAGCTAGAAGAGCTATTCGATCGGGGAGATGGAGCTGATGTTGCTGACGTAGATGACTTACGTGGCCTTCAGTAAGTGGCAAGAAGTGCCCTCTTCCTGATAGAATGTATACTATACCATCTGATCATATGATACTCGACCTTCGAAAAGTCCCCTTATCCACTTCTATGCCCACTTTTGCTCTCTCCTTCGCGAGACCCGTCCCTGTGGAACAGGGTCGGCGGCCGACTTTTAGGCCCCCTAGTAGATGATGTTAGTGCCGCGTTCCGCATTAATAGCGAAGGTGCGGAATGCGAATTGTCAAACACAGGCTATGTGCGCCATTTGCAGCGTCAACTGCTGGAGTGTGCATTCCAC